ACAAGCGTAGCTACTACACACGCGTAGCTACTACTACATGCGTGTAGCTACTACTACACGCGTGTAGCTACTACTACTAGCTACTACTACACACTACTACACACGTGTAGTAGTAGCTACTACTACTACACGTGTAGTAGCTACTACTACATGTAGCTACTACATGCACTGGCCGTACATTCAGCCGGGCAACCGGCGGCTTCGCGCTGACGCCGTTCCCCGACCGCCCGAGTCTCGCGCGCGCGCTCGCTCAGCACGCATCTCGCTAGGGCAGTGGTTCTTAACCTGGGTTCGATCGAACCCCAGGGGTTCGGTGAGTCGATCTCAGGGGTTCGGCAGAGCCCCCGCCACGGAGGTCCGGACACACTTGAATTATTGTGTAAATTTGTGATGACACACACGGCCCGCTTGGCCATCACTGGCTGCGGATGATCATGCTACACTGCTTGGCCAATCAGCGCTGCGGGGAATTTAGTGCGTACTCAGTAGTCAACGTGTGACTGTTGTCGTACGTCGTGTGATTTCTTTAATATTTTATCCATACTAACTATGTCGGGCAAAAGAAGAAAGTGGTCGGACGAATATGTACAACATGGATTCTCATGTATCACGGAACGTGATGGGAGTGAGCGTCCTATCTGCATGATTTGCAACGCCAAGTTGAGCAACTCTAGTCTTGCACCGGCAAAACTAAAGGAACACTTCTTGAAGCTGCATGGAGACGGGGAATACAAGAACACAACACTTGCTGAATTCAGGGTGAAGAGAGCCAGATTCGATGAAAGGGCCACTCTGCCTGCTCTTGGATTTGTACCTGTTAACAAACCGATCCTGACAGCATCGTACGAAGTTGCTTACCTGATCGCAAATCAGGGCAAGCCACACACCATTGGTGAAACACTTGTGAAACCAGCTGCATTAAAGATGGCGAATCTGATACTCGGAACAGCGGCCGAAGGTAAATTATCCCAAATTCCCCTTTCAAATGACACCGTCAGTGACAGAATAGAAGACATGAGTAAAGACATCTTGGCTCAAGTAGTCGCGGATCTGATTTCAAGCCCGGCAAAATTCAGCCTTCAACTCGACGAAACCACAGACGTTTCTGATCTAAGCCAGCTTGCTGTTTTTGTATGCTATGTGAAAGACGACATGATAAAAGAAGAGTTTTTATTTTGTAAGCCTCTTACAACAACAACGAAGGCAGCCGATGTGAAGAAGCTTGTGGATGACTTCTTCAGAGACAACAATCTTTCATGGGATATGGTTTCTGCAGTTTGTACGGACGGAGCTCCAGTCATGCTGGGAAGAAAGTCTGGTTTTGGTGCGCTAGTAAAGGCCGATGCACCACACATCATTGTGACGCATTGTATTCTGCACAGGCATGCGTTGGCAACAAAAACCTTACCTCCAAAAATGGCAGAAGTATTAAAAACTGTGGTGGAATGTGTGAACTATGTGCGAAAAAGTGCTCTGAGGCACCGCATCTTCTTTGAGCTGTGTAAAGAAATGGGCTCTGAATTTGAGGTACTTCTGCTCCATTCTAATATTCGGTGGTTATCCCGGGGACAGGTGCTGAATCGTGTTTTTGCCATGCGTGTGGAATTAGCCCTGTTTTTGCAAGAGCACCAACACTGCCATGCAGATTGCTTCAAAAATCCTGAGTTCATTCTCATTTTAGCGTACATGGCTGATATATTCGCAGCTCTCAATCATCTCAATCAGCAGATGCAGGGTGGTGGAGTCAATATCATGGAAGCGGAAGAACACCTGAAGGCTTTTCAAAAAAAGCTACCGTTATGGAAACGACGAACAGAGAACAATAACTTCGCAAACTTCCCGCTTCTGGACGACTGTGCAAGTAAGATCGAAGATGTGTCTGGAATCGGAGATATTTCTGTATACACGGAACTGAAGCAAACAATTGCCACGCACTTAGATGAGCTTGCAAAGTCTCTCGACGGATATTTCCCTACAAGAGAGTCATATCCAGCATGGGTGAGACAGCCGTTCACGTTTGCTGTTGAAACAGCAGATGTCAATGATGAATTCCTCGACGAAATCATTGAAATTCAGCAGAGCCAGGTTCAACAGCAACTCTTCAGAACAACAACGCTCTCAACGTTTTGGTGTCGACAAATGAACAAGTATCCAGTTATTGCTAAGAAAGCCCTGGATTTTTTTATACCATTTGTTACAACATATCTTTGTGAGCAATCCTTTTCGAGGATGCTGGACATAAAAACGAAGAAAAGGAACAGACTTTGCTGTGAAAATGACATGAGAGTGGCACTTGCCAAGGTGAAGCCACGCATATCTGAACTGATCTCTCAAAGGCAACAGCAGAAGTCACATTGATTTCCAGGTATGTAATTTGTTGTGAGTTTATGCATTGTGTTGGTTTTATTCTTTGAACAAGGTAATGTTCATGCACGGCTCATTTTGTGTACCAGTAAAAAACATATCTATGTCTTGAATTTGAAAAAAATCACATTTTATTTTTCACTAAAGAGGGGTTCGGTGAATGCGCATATGAAACTGGTGGGGTTCGGTACCTCCAACAAGGTTAAGAACCACTGCGCTAGGGCGAGCTTGGGGGCCGTCCGTAAATGACGTCACGCACCTAGGAGGGGGGGGGGGTCAGACATTTGTGACGATGTGTGACGAGGGTGGGGTGGGGGGGGTTGAGAAATGTGACGTCACATCAAAATGCGCAACTTTAAATAAATATAGAATTGATAAAAAAAATAATTGTTATAACACTCCTACAACATCAGTGTGCAGCGCCACATTAAACACGCACTGCAATGACAATAGTTTAAAGCGATTTGAAGCATATTTTATTTTCAAAATGAAAATATGGTTTGGGGGGGGGGACAGAGCTTTGTGACGTCATTTGAGGGGAGTCTGACTTTTTGTGACGCCATGTGACGAGTTGGGGGGGGGTCAAAAATTGTCGAAAATCGCGTGACGTCATTTACGGACGGCTCCTTGGCTACGCTTCGCATCGGCGGAGTTTTGACTGTATTATTATTTTGGTGGCTCGCGTTGTCCCTCGCATGATCGCGGGTGCGTGTCACTAATTTATTTGTAATCGTTCATTGTAAACTGCTGAAAATAAAGGAATAAAGGTGTCCCGCGCTGCGCGGTGTGGGTGGCGAGACGTCAACTACCTCGCCTGGTTGTGCAGGAGGGCGTGGGCTCCATCCCAACACTGACGCCTGCTGCTGCTGCAAGTTTATTTGGAGTTTGCGTGTTCTAGCTCGTGGTGGCGTGGATTTTTTTTTATCCGGGGGGGGGGGGGGGTTCCCTCCGCATTTTTAATCAACGTCACGCGTTTAGAGCGCAGTGTTTGACTGCTGTAAATGACCACGCCATAAGCCACTTCGTTGGGATATTTGTGGCCAGGTCTCTTCTGAAAAAAGAGTTACACAGCTCATTGAGCCTTAGCTGGTAAAAATTACCCCCTATTATCACCCAGAAATGTGTCTGTCCCGCGCGTGACGTCACTCCACGAGGCCCACCCCCCCTAATTAATATTCATGAGTGGGTGGATTTTTACACTAACGCAGAGAAAAGTCGAGCTGAATTAAGTACTGTAATTTATTACGCAAAGTCGCTTCAAATTACGTATCTTGACAGAAAGTGACGGTATTTTTTTTTATCTACGCAGCAGTGCTCCATCCGTGCGTGACGTCACTGCAAAAGAGCCCCCCCCCTTCATTAATATTCATGTCCGCGTGAAAATTATTTTACACGAACGCAAGATCGCGCACTCCACATTCCGCACCCCTCCCATCATTAATAATCATGAGCAGGTGACGCCACTCCACATGGGCCCCCCCTCCATTAATAATCATGAGCTGAACAATTTTTTTATTGAATATTTAAAATTTACTGCAGCCTCGGGCAGAAAAAGCTCGTTTATTATAAAAGCCCGGCGTTCCGTTTGTCCGTCAACTAAAGGATAGCCTTTCAGAAGCCCTGAATCAAAACGTTCTAGAAAGTGGACACCCCCCCCCCCCCCCCTGTGAGGACACAAAATTAAGTTTCCAAAATATTTTGACCCCCCAAATTTTTTTTCACTTCCCCGCCCGGCCAAATTTTTGGTAGGCATATATCCCTACACACCCTATATACAAGTCAGTTGTAGTATCTGCACACATTGTGGGGGAGGAAGAAGAGGACATCAGTGGGGGCGAAACGCTGAGAAGTCTTCCGCAGGAGCTAGTCGATCAAACTTGCCAACATTTCGTCCGCTTTGCCTGCTCCCTTTATTTGTAAAATAACGTCACGGGATCTTCACCGTCTACTGCTGTGAAGGCAATCGGCGCGCTCTCCGTGGCTATTACACCCGCCGCCAGTATTAACCGTGGGCGGCCGGCGAGAATATCGAACCGCAACACCTTGCAACAAGCGGTCAACGGGACACAATTAACTCCGCGACGGAATGAACGATGGGCGTCGTTGGCACGTTGAGGGTGCCCACGTGGTGGGGCCAATGGGCCCCATGAGGCCTCCACGTTGTGACCCCGTCACGTGGCACAGCGGTGCTCGCCGCCGATTGGATGGCTCGCCGCGCGGGTCAACCAATCGCGCGCGCGCGCGCCTTCGACCGCGAGTGCGTTCGCAAAAAACTCGCAAAGAGACGCACGGATTTGTGTTTTTATTTTGTCCCTCATTCATTCCCGCGTATAGCCGCGCCCCCCCCCCCGACCACCGCCTTGCTGGCAGCTGTCTCTCTCTCTCTCTGTGTGTCGGGGGTGGAGGAGACGGCAGCAGCAGCAGCGGAGGACCACGGCCGAGAACGAATTTCGCAAAGGCCCCGGAAGTTTGAATTTCCCACCGCGCTTAGAGGCGAGCGGGCCGGGGCCCGTGCCCGCCCGCTCGCCGCCGCGTCACGTGACGACGGTCGTGCTCGCACGCGATTGGTCCCGAGCCGCCGATCCGCGCTACCAAATCGAACGCGTCCGTCGATTCCCCACCGCCCTCCTCCCCCCGCGGCGGCTCGGCGTCAACGTGGCGCGGCCCCCCACCCCCCTCCTCCTCCCGTGCGCTCGACGCTAGGAGCAGCAGCAGAGCAGCAGCAGCCGCCGCCGTCGCCGCGGCTAAACCCGCTGTGCAAGCCTCGGTGGGTTTTTTTGGCGTTGCGTTATCGGTGTCTCGGTTAAACCACGCGCGTTGCTTTTTGAAGAGGGCCCCACTTTTTGTGTGTGTCGCTCGCTGTGGCTCGAAGTCGCCGCCGCCGCCGTCATCGCCGTCGCTCCGCTGCTGGTGAGGCCGCTGCGCGCCGCTGTCGTGATCAATGGGTGGAGGAGAGCGAGAGAGGAGGACGAGGAGAAGAAGGATAGGGAAAGGCTTGCGTCCCGATGAGCATCGTCGGGCAATGGTCTGTCTGGGTGATAGCCGCCGCCGCCGTCGTCGTCGTCGCCACCAAAGCCGCCGCTGGCGGGCCCCGAGCTGCTCCCACATCCATCTGGCACCGTTGTTGCGCGCCAGCTGATTTGGGCGTTCCGTCTCCCCCCCCCCCCGCTTCGTGCATGCGGATTTCATTCCCCGTCACACCAGCGTCGTGTCCAGCCAGGGGGGGTGTGGGGGGGACCGTGGCCCGCTCCCCAAACTCAACCTCGCTGTCCACTTTCGTCGCACTTGCGTCGACTTTACTGGCTCCCGTAACTTAAACGCGAACTTAATTTCGAGCGAGACTCAACGTCGACTTCTTTCACGCATCGGCTTGCCCAGGGGATTTTGCAGACGTGGCGGGGCTCGGGTTTGCTTTCGCAGCAGCATAAGCGATTGTGTGTTTTTTTTAAATCCTATTCGTTCGTGCTGTACGTCATCTCGAGCCGTGGAGACTTGTGCTTTCCGACGATTGCACAGCTACACAGAGAGAGAGACGCACTCGGGAGAGAAAGGACGTACTGTACGAGTATCCTCAAGGAAGCTTATGGAGGGAGACGTGGGGATGTGTAGAGTACTTGGGATAGGTTGGTGTGGTCATCACAGACCAGGTGTAGCAAAGACCACATCGTCCTGTACTAAACTGCTCCCACGTCGTTGCCGGCGTGGTGACATTGTCAAATAACCCCTTCACGATCCACACGGCGTGGAGAGGTCCTCGTCCAGCAGAGCATTGGCAACCGCGGTGCCGTGTACACACGCACACAGAGATTGGACGTAAAGGGATGGAGAAATAATAACCTTCGTCGTGTAAAGCAAACACGTCCGCCGCTCGTCGCTGTCGGGACCGAGTACAAAACCACAAGTTCTCATTCTTGACCCCGGGGGTTGTCCCGCGGTGAACATCTTTGGCAGTCTTCATTGGAATTACATGTGTAGCGACCCGGGGTCGGAGTTGAGGATTAATGTTGACTGAAAGTTCACGCGCTGTAATCACCAAACCTCAGCACCGGTCCTGTATTCTTGTTCCCCCCTCCCCCCTCCGCACTGCTTGTGGAAGTTATCATTCACGTGGCGAGAACAAATCGAGATGCTTCGGATAAGGGAACACTTTGACTTCTGTGAACTAATTGGTTTGCAGCCTTGCATATGCTTGATGCTCACTGAATCGACACTGTGCCCGAGTGCTTCGTGGTCGAGATTTGAACTTGTCACTTTCAAACTTGAGAGCTCTTCGTACAAACTGAGTTGTCTTCAAATACTGTATTATCCTGTACTGTACATTCAAAGAGTGTTTTTTTTTAAATATAATTGTCATACCTTAACAACGATGACCATACCACACCACTAGAGACGCAGCCTTGTTCGCAAACCAAGTTCCGGCATTGTGAAGCCTCGGCTCTCAGAACTGAGTACAGTATGCTGCAATAAAAGTTAAAACACACAAAAAAAGAACCACCAGACCTCGGTAGAAATCGGTGAGTTGCCATTTGAACCCAGATACTAATTTAGCAGAATGTCCAGGACAATTGCGGACAGGTGGCAACCCACATTCAACAAGTACGTCAGTACAGGTTGGTGAATGTAAGGAATACAGACGGAAGGGGGGCGGGCAAGGATTAGCACGGTACACATCCAGCAGTGGATTGACAAAGGAATGTGCTTGTACATGTTATAACGCTATACCAGTGTGCATCATGGACTCACGATTATTTACAGGATGATATGTGTGTGTGCGCGCATCTGACCCCAAGCCTCAGAAGTGCTTTTTTTTGCTCCAATATTGTTCAATTTTTTCCAGTCTACGTGAAATTAGTATTGACACTTTAAAATAATCAAGTGGTGAACCGTTACTGAGCCTTAACTAAAGACGAGTGGGTCCTCGGTGAGTAAAATATACACATGTTTGTCAGTCATAATAAGCCGTGATCAATCCACTACTGGCTGGAGGCCTCTCCCAAGCCCTCCTCATGGTCCTGAAATTTAGCAATCCGTTAGCACGGTTGGCTACGTACGGTGCCAGGGAAGTTCTACAGATACACGAGCCACTTTCATTGCTCCATCTCTGTGGTAAATGTCCTTTGGCTGCTATTCCATCGTTAGTCTTGACCACTGGCTTTTATCATACACAGGCATAGTAAAATGGTGTTTCATGTTAGGTGGCAGTACTTTCCAGATTTTGACTTGAAGCTTTCGTGACTGCAGGAATCCATACTCTTTTTGGTTCTTTCGGTAAAGTCACGTGGGTAGAAATAAAATAAAACATCGCGACGAACCAAAGAGTATACTTTCTCGATTCTTCATGCTAGACACGATTGACACTTAACTCGTTTTTCCCGTTTCATTTCAGGACTGGAGTATTCACAGTATTGTCCCTGAAGCTGCATAAAAATGACAGCCAAACTGGGATTCCTGCGTCTCTCTTATGAGAAGCAGGACACGCTGCTCAAGCTTTTCATCCTGTCCATGGCCGCCATCCTCTGTAAGTGTGCAAGCGCAAATCATTTTGGAGCTTTGGATCGTTCAAAAAAGAAATATATTTAGTTGATGAAAGTCGTCGTTCCTCTGCCAATTTGTACAGTAATGTTTGCATTGCTGCATGAGCAGTATTTGCTACAGTTGGCGATGAGAATATTAATTACAGAAATATGTAAAGATATCGGTGTTGTCAAAAGTTTGTTTTACTTTTAAGTAATGTAACATTGCATGTTTCGATTTAGGATTACATGAACTGATGTTGCATGTCTGTGCAGAGGTGGTTACTAGCCTGCCCAGGTTTTGTGGTTTTTGAATAAAATGTATTGAAGGAATGTATTTGATGAGAACATGTTTATTTCGTTTCATCTTGCAGCATTTTCCACAAGACTGTTTTCAGTACTGAGGTTTGAAAGCGTCATTCACGAGTTTGATCCGTAAGTGATTCAATGTCTGTCACTTGTGCTTAATATTTAAGTTATTACTTCGTCCCTTAATTATACTGTTTGCGTGAATACTAGTTAACCTTTCAGCAATCAAACATTTACTGGTTCCCATTCAGAAATATATGAAATAATAGGCACCGGTGCCTTGGAGGTCAGTGCTGAGCTAGCACTGTATGGAACCTGGGCTTAAATTCCAGTTCCATCCACCTTTTATGAACACTGGATTCTCAAGTGCAGTGAGCTGGTATCAACGCAGTGAGCTGGTCTCAATGCAGTAACCAAATAACTGCATGAAAACAAGTCCATCAAAATTAGTTTTGCTTGGATTAGGCTCAATGCCAGCTCTGAGAATAAAAAATGGGAAAACGCACCCCTAATGTGTAGTGGAGAAAAAAGGTGACTTGATTACTTTTTTTCGGAGAGGTCCCTTGAAAAACCATGGGTCGTCTTGTGACACACGGTGAGATTTACGAATGGAGTCTTCACCTCACGACATCACTCCGATAGCACAGCTGGAATACATTTATGGAAAAGGATATTTATTTCCAAATAATTGAAATTGGCTAAATCGCACGTATTTGAACAGAAAGTCAATTTTAAACCATGTAAAGCATCACCAATATGTATGTATGTTGAACTTATTTCGCACTACTACCAGAATGAATGAGTTAAACCTTTGTTTTGTCTGCAGATACTTTAACTACCGCACCACCCGCTTCCTTACTGAGGAGGGCTTCTATCAGTTTCACAACTGGTTTGATGACCGAGCATGGTACCCTTTGGGCAGGATTATTGGCGGAACCATTTACCCAGGTACAGCACTTAACTTATACTCTTGTTGCATTTTTCAATTGACACTTTACCAATGAGAAGGAACCCGCAGCATCGGAAAATTTACCGGTTTGTTTAATGGTTGTGCGCAGGTCTTATGGTGACATCAGCCTTGCTTTACCACGTGTTGCATTTTATGAACGTCACCATCGACATCCGTAATGTCTGCGTCTTCCTGGCACCGCTTTTCTCATCGTTCACCACGCTTCTTACCTACCACCTTACCAAGGAGCTCAAGGTGAGCAAAAAATAACGGCATTTAATTTGTAATAGCACCTTTCAGAATCGGGACTCGACGAAATGCTTAATAAAACTGTAATATTGTGTTGCTGTAACATACAACAATTAAGCCATTAAAACACAGATCATTGCTGCCAAGTTACAGGTTGTAAAAAAGCCTTTTGAACAAATCTCTTGAGGCATACATATTAAATGGGTGTTGAAATATGGAAGGGTTTGATTACCCTTAAAGCACATTTTAAAGTGATGGAGCATGACTTCAAAGGAAACTTGTTTATTCCGCAATTGTAAACACTTTGCAGGAAATACCCTGCATACCTACAAGTATTTTCATATTTTACGTTCAGTGTTTGCGTTGGTCGTTACCATGACCAAATATATAAACATTCATAATGATCATCCCAAAGGGGAACTCTGTTTTATTGTCCACACTTTTCAAACTCTGAAAACAAAATAGTTATTCAAATGGACAAGCCACTTATAACCCTCTGGGATGTAAAGCTGTTACTGGTAGCTATGATAACTACTTTGCCATAAGTGGCTCATGCAGCGCAATGGAAAGCCGTGATGTCGAAGATAATCGGTAGAAATATTCACGGTAGCAGGAGCTGCAATTGGGAGAGTTTTGAGGGCTGTGAGTGTTGGAAGAAGTCCTAATACCAGTGTGGATTGTGTGATTGTCTAGGATGCTGGAGCTGGGTTGGTGGCTGCTGCCATGATCGCCATTGTGCCTGGCTACATATCACGCTCGGTGGCTGGCTCGTACGATAACGAAGGTGCGCATTGAAATTAACATAAGAAAGATAAATCGGTAAGCGTTGTTGTAGGAAGGACACCCAGGTGGCTTTGGCCAGAGCGCGAGTTTACACCACTGCGTTCCAATTTGTGTTTAAGCCACCCGGGATTCAACTGAGTTTTGAAGTGTAGTGAGTTGATGGCCTCAGTTTGGTCACCAATTTTTTCACGAAGTATAATGCATAACATTTTTTTGAACAATCACTTAATTTGGAAAATTCTCATAAACCTCCTGGGACTACTGTGCGACAAACATATCTTTAGCTAGGCACCTTTGGAAACAAACACTTGACATTTCAAGTAATTCGTGATATCCCTTTTCAGAGGCCATTGTCGAATACAGCACTGTCTGCAAGAATTACGAAGGAAAATGTCTCATCTCTTAACGCCAATGATCACAATTGTAATATGTTTGTGGAAAAAGTAAAAAAGTGGTTGTGGAGTTAAGTTGTAGGCAGTCTCGAGCACTTGTGATGCAATTATTTTTTATTAACTTGATGTGCCACTTACAAGTTTTTTGTGGGAATGGCTTTGCTGCTATTGTGCTTGCAGGGATCGCCATATTCTGCATGCTCTTCACCTACTACATGTGGATCAAGGCTGTGAAGACTGGCCTGCTCTACTGGTCTGCTATGTGTGCGCTGGCCTACTTCTACATGGTAAGTTGGGCAGTTGGCCCATAATGTGTTAATGCTCATTAACACTTTCCAACTAATTTTTAAAACATTATCCCCGTCAGTCCATCCATTTGTACTGGAGGGACACAATAGCTTGTTTAAAGATGATCCCATATGAACCACACGCTTTTGTAAAATTGTGTTGCTGTTCAAGATTTAGACTCCTGAAAACTGGCCAAATGGAGCAAAGGCTTACCCAAAACATTGAGACAATAAACCAGCGCTAAAAGGCCCTATCTTTCCATCCTGGCCCTGCCAGCCAAGTTTCACCCTCCCGGGCAGTGCTGCCATCTGAGCCCCATGGTCTCATCACAGCCTGCAAACCTACTGCTTCCTGCGTGACCGTGTTTGCTATTGAATACTTCTGAAGACTTATGCATGTTGGAAAGCATTGTTTAACAATGCGCGTGAATGATTTGTTCTTGCATTTGAATTAAACTGGCCAATGCACTGTGTGTACGTATGTTGAACTTCTTTCACACCGTATGCGAACCAAACTAAGATGTGTTCACTCTTTAAAAGTTCATCATCTTACGTCAGCTTGCGATTGTGTTTATTAAATCTGCTTGTGAGTTGTTGAAGATGGTTGTGCGTGGCGAATCAAAGAATATATATTTTTTATAATTCAGGTGTATGTAGTGCCTCTTGTGGCGATAGGATTCTTGCGAACCCATCATATACAACAGAAATGAATCGAAACGAAACATCATTTCTTTTCTCACATTATTTCATGTGTTCACCACCAACATAACAATTGCTTTACATTCTTTTGAGATGACGCTTCGTCACGTGCCTGGCGGCAACCACTATCGGCTCGCGGTTCATCACGATCCGCGCGCGCTGCGTCTGGGCTCGCAGGTGTCGTCGTGGGGAGGCTACGTGTTCCTCATCAACTTGATCCCCCTGCACGTGCTCGCCCTGATGATCACGGGCCGCTTCTCGCACCGCATCTACGTGGCCTACAGCACCGTGTACTGCCTGGGCACCATCCTCTCCATGCAGATTTCCTTCGTCGGCTTCCAGGTAAACGTGCAATTCTTAGACCGGATAGCGGTTTTATTTTCTTGGGTGGGGGGGGGACGACTGAACAATCTAGCTTGCTGACTTCTGGGTTCAGGGTTTGTCTTTTTAACTCTGTCCTCGGTCAAACGATATTCTGTGGAAACATTGCGCCGTTTCCTCGATTGTGGGAAATGTTCATTGATGTTAACATTTTCTGAGTTTCCGAGCTAAATGAGAAAGCATTTTAATTATTTACTTGCGTATTTCTGTTCTTTTACTAGAGTTGGGCACTCCCTTGTTAAAATTATTTGGGCAAGTGGCTCAGAGGTCAAGAGTGCCGAGCTGGCACTGCGGAGATCCTGGGTTCGAATCCAAGAAACCTCATCTCATTAAACCAGATTCTGCATTAATAAAAACATAATTAAATTTGATTCTGCACTTAATTTCTGTAAAACCCATCTCTTTCGTTCGCTAACACGAATGGTTGTATGCTCTGCGAGAGATCCGAATGGATACTTTGTCTCCTGACGTGATTACAATCGCACGTTCGCTATACAAGTTGGGGATTTGTTTTTTTACTTATTCAGTTGAAGTCCTTCTTTCTGTACGCTTGCGATGCTTGACGTTGGTGTGAATTAAAATTCCCCCTTTTGCAGCCGGTGCAGTCGTCCGAGCACATGGCGGCTCTGGGGGTGTTTGGCCTGTGCCAGATCTACTCCTTTGTGGACTACCTACGGAGCAAGCTGAGCACGCAGAACTTTGAGATTCTCTTCAAGAGCATGATCTCGCTGGTGGGGGCCGTGGTTGGCGTTGCCGCCACCCTTCTCATGCTGACCGGTGAGAGCAGCCACGCTTTCGGATTTCTCAGAGAGCTGTCACGGTGGCAAAAGCTAGGACCGTACGCAGGCATGGTAGAGGTACGGAAACGCAAACCGTTTTGAACGTGTAGATAGGCGTGACGAGGGTGGAAACGTGGAGGATCCCGTTAACGTTTGGCAAAGCGGAAGGAAAAAAGAAGGCAGGCATGGTTTACGAATCGTATTCTAAATGCGAGGGCACACCAACGTTAAGGAAAAGCCTCATATCGCGGAATATTGAATAGCTTCAGCATTGAGGTTGTGATTACTCACTATAGAGTAAAATGGTAGAGAGAAGCGAGTTGAAGTGGAAGTTGAGGAGTCTCTGTTATGATTTGTAAGAGGAGGTCACTTGGTGTCCATGTTGAAGCCCAATTGCCAATTGGAAAATGATTTAAAGTTAGTAAAGCAAATAACTGCAGTTATCCAGGTGTGAGATTTTATATTTAATTCAACATATCCCAGGTCTGAGAGTTAAACATGTTGGTTGGATTGCCATGTAGCAATCTAGTTTATAGCAGGAAAATGTGCGGTGTCCATCTTAATAAGAGGCAAGTGAAGGTTTCTCAGAAGCAGTTCTATAGTATCACTTTATACGGGCTGCTTTCTTTGAGTGTTCCGGCTAGAAACGTGTTCGTCTTCTGATACGACTCTGGAAGCACTATTGACATGATTGGGAAGAATACAACCATGCACAGCAGTGACATGGCCGTCTTTGGTGGCGCAGGTAAGATCTCCCCGTGGACTGGCCGCTTCTACTCCCTGCTCGACCCGTCCTACGCCAAGAACAACATCCCCATCATCGCCTCCGTGTCGGAGCACCAGCCCACCACGTGGTCCTCTTACTACTTCGACCTGCAGCTCCTCGTTTTCATGTTTCCTGGTACCCGTTTTTTGTTCTCTCTCTCTCTCGAAGCTATCGTATCAAACATTCAAATTCGCAGCACGCTTCGCGGGAAAACACGAACGCCAATAAAATATGCATTACAAACAAATTGTGTCATCGGTGTGAATGTGAGGTAAGAACGGAGATGAGTGGTGTTCCCAGCGCAGATGAAAGAGCTTGGATGAGCACGACTGACACCTTGCTATTTATGACCATTCCTCTCATCAAGAGAGGTGGACAGAGTATTTATATCTGAATTACAGCCATAATTGGTTAACATACAATGCGTAAGTAAAATCCCACTTAATATTTAAATCTTGATTTGAAGCTTTCGTGACTGCAGGAATCCATACTCTTTGGTTCTTTCGGTAATGTCACGTAGGTAGAAAAAAATAATGATTGCCCACGACTGTAAAGTGTTTAAGGTGTACATCCCAAGTCCTAGAACTGGCTACGTCATCTCGGAACAAGTTTGCTCCTCCCCGCCCCCCTTCTCGTGGTCGCTTTATTATTCATATGTTTGTTTCTTTCCCTCCACTGCTGTCTCCAGTCGGGCTTTACTACTGCTTCTGCAACCTGAATGACGCTCGCATCTTCATCATCCTCTACGGCGTCACCAGCATGTACTTCTCAGCGGTCATGGTGAGTTCGGGGAGGCTCCCGTCAGTAAGAGAGCAAATCCCCCCCACCACCACCATGGTGACACCAGCCATGCACGGTGGCAACAAAATGTCACTTGATGCTGCAACGTGCCCTGTAGAGATGGTGAAATGCGTGCCTGTAAGCGCATCACCCTGAATGTGTCGTGTGTCGTCAAATCTAGGAAGCTACCGGAAGTTGAATGCTTGACCTGTCAGGTGGCCAGATTTACATTCTTCCATTTGTCTCTGTGGCACTTAATCCAGTTCCCTCCCACATTGCTTTCTTCCACTCACAATATGATCCACCGTTTTTCAGGTGATAGTATACTTCATAAATCGTGCTCCTTTAAATCATTAGCTGAAGGTTAATAGACCTTTTTTTTCTGCCCAACGTGAATATGCTTCACTCTCAATCACCACTGAGGTAACATAAGCCCAATCAGTCTGGGTGTACCCCTTCATATCTGAGGTGTGCCACCCAGTTCCTACCTCAAAGGAGTCTGGTTTATTGAGCCAGAGCTCACTGAGTCACTTATTGTGCACTCATTGGTAGAAAGGGTGTTTTGGCCTGTAAATATGGTGGTTGAACACCCTATGGGTGAGTCAATGGTCGAGTGGACCCACTCCAGCGCTGTCCTCCAGACAGTCTCGTCCCTTCACCTGATGAAGGCCGCTTGTTTTGTGGCCGAAACGTCGTGAGAATATTATTGTGTTATTTTATTTTATCTATTTATTATTTTATTCTCATTCTACGTGACTTTACCGAAAGAACCAAAGAAGATGAATCCTTGCAGTCACGAAAGCTTTAAATCGAAATGGACCCGATTTCTCAAAGTGGGTGGAGGAATCCATTGAGTAAATTTCGTGGGAACAGTAACCAGGGTAGGAGTGATAGACGGGTGATAAGGAGGCAACTGGAAAGATGGGAGAAGAGAACATCGTTATGAAGTAAATCTAAGAAAATCTGTATTCTTGTGACGAATGCTACATTCGATGCGTATGGAAGGAAATGAGAGCTTGAAACTTAAGTGCTTAAATGTTAACTAATTTGCCGCTGTTGCTGCGTATGGCTTTGCGCCACAGGTGCGTCTTATGCTGGTGCTGGCGCCCGTCATGTGCATCTTGTCGGGGATTGGCGTGTCTCACGTGCTCACCACCTACATGCGCAACCTGGACATCTCGCGGCCTGACAAGAAGAGCAAGAAGACGCACGATGCCTCCTACCCCATTAAGAACGAGGTGATTTGGCCTGCCCCCCCCCCCCCCGGGGGGCTTTCGTGAGTTGATGTTTGTGTTGGGAATTGAGCCCAGCACTGCTGAAATCCGACTTCAATTTTTAGATTGTTATACGTACAACACTGGTGAAAAATGTGGTGCAGTGGATTTCCCTTGGCACTATTAACCCAGCAACGTGGATTTGATTCCTGGTCATGGTTAACATCCGTGCCCTTCCCCCCAACACCTTCCCAAACCCGCACTGACCAGAATGGTAAAATATGGTCGTACAAACCCCCACGATCAACACGGCATGGGGAGGCCTTCATCCAGCAGTGCATTGACAAAGGGCTGCACGTGCAAGGCCAAATTAAGTGGCAAAGTATTTTTTTTAGAAATGAGTAATTATATGTATGTTGAACTTCTTTCGCACTTTACATAGCCAACCGTGCTAATCGGAGGTGTGGGGGAAGGACAACAATTGGGCTGATACCAACTAATTCTATATGCCCTCACTCTTCAAGATCCTTTAAGCATCCTGTCTGCCTACTTCTCCCTTGGACTCAAATGAGTACCTGATGCCGTGTGTAAACGTCAGCACTGGAGAACGGCCGTGATGCTTGCCACACCACTCCCTCGCGCTCTGCGTCGGCCTCTCAATAGCTGCTCGCTAACGGCTCTGGCCCCAGCAGTCCGTTAAAGGTTACACGGCGGCGGGGGGGGGGATCTTTGTCTCTTGTCGCCCACACCGCAGGTGGCTAGTGGCATGGTACTGCTCATGTCATTCTTCCTCATCACGTACACGTTCCACTCGACGTGGGTGACGAGCGAAGCGTACTCCTCGCCCTCCATCGTTCTGTCGGCTCGCGGCGGCGACGGCAGCCGCATCATTTTCGACGACTTCCGCGAGGCGTACTACTGGCTGAGACACAACACGCCCGAGGTGTGACACCCTTCTCGCCACGACTTTATTTCTCGGAGAATGTTTCCCGGGTCGTTGGTGAAGCGTTATTTAAGTAGCCACAGCCGTAGCGAGAGATATTTCTGTATGTTGGCGAGCTGGGTACGGACATTTTTATTGGCCGGATGAACCCAGTGGAACTAAATCCCAGATTGTCCCTCAATCATATCCATCCTACTCAACCTGAGCTACAGGTTTTGTTGAAATACCGCTGATGTTTATCCATTAAAATGTAATTTTTTTAGAGGTGCGCGGGTGGTTCAGGACTTAGATTCTTGAGCAACTAGGTTCAGTCGAGTTAGTTGTTTGTCTCACTCTGGTCACCAGTGACTGCACAAAAAAACCTCATCACATTTTGTTTGAGTTGTCATGTAATTTGACTAAATTCCCAGCTCTGAGAATGTTTTTTTTAATAGATTTGGGTGCCACTACAAAAAAATGTTCTGTGTAGCAGGGTGTGTGCGTGAAAGTGTAAAATGTCACTTGCATGGGTTTTAGGAGTAGTTATGTAAGATCTTCTGTGGCAGGGCAGTCTCTTCACGCATTATACTGCTTTTTAGGAGTTTATAACCTCATGGATGTGTAATCACATGACTTGATGTTGACGGGGTGAAGCAAGAAGATAACGAGTTTGTTGTTTGATTTTATTTTTTTGGCCTTGCGACCATCCAGGATGCGAAGGTGATGTCATGGTGGGATTACGGCTATCAGATAACAGCCATGGCCAATCGAACAATATTGGTGGACAACAACACATGGAACAACACGCACATCTCCCGCGTCGGGCAGGTAAACACCCGATCACTGGTCCTTGTGTGTTTACATTACAAGATGATACGTACACATGTGTATGTATGTTGAACTTCTATCGTCGCACCCGTGTGTAGCCAACCGTACTAATCTGAGTGTGCGGGGGGAAGGACAACAAACGAAACACAAAAAGCAGTTCTAAATAAATGAGTTTTCAATTGAGAAAATTAGTTTTCAATTTAGAATACATTGACAAGCATCCCTAGATATAATTAACAGCGATGTAATTGTCATTGGCTCTAAACATCTTTTATTTTGTTGGAATTTGACCTACTCTTCCACACGAGCCAGATGTCTTGTAAGATGTCGGAGTGCCCACTCTTTACCCCACCACATGCCACCTTCCGCACCACTAACTGCAGTGTACCCTTTTATACCGCTGGGTGGACAGAGGTGGGGGGAAATTGAAAAAACTTGCCTAAATGCCACATCGGAAGATGGAACTGTGGCCACCTTTGAATTTCAAGTCTGTTGTGCTGACCATCACACCACGGCAGCATCCCTTCATATAATTTACAGTGTTCTAGGTTCTTTCGGTAAAGTCACGTAGAATGGAGATAAAATAATAAAAATAATAATAACAATAAAATTATCGGGCACAACACAAGTAGCCTACTTGTGTTGTGGCCGAAACGTCGTGAGACTTTTATTCTGTTATTATTTTTATTATTTTATCTCCATTCTACGTGACTTTACCGAAAGAACCCAGAAGATGAATCCCTGCAGTCACGAAAGCTTTAAATTGAAATTTAATTTACCAGTGCTTTGGCATGTCTAGGAGCACGGCTACTCAAAATACAATGGGATCAGTCGCTTTCTTGCCGATTGCGGTATAATCTAAGACCATGCAAGTCTGTGGTTGGCAGTGCTAAACGAGGCAAAGCACTGATCCACTGGTGTAATTTTAACTTAACGCGCCAATCTGCTTTAGCATTTTTAAATGTTTGGCTGTACCCGTGTTTTCGGTTAGGCCATGTCATCGACGGAGGAGAAGGCCTATGAGATCATGCGGGAGTTGGACGTGGGCTACGTGCTGGTGATATTCGGAGGGCTGACCGGTTACTCTTCTGACGGTATGAGCTTGCATTTACTCTCAACTTCATAGGTTTACGTGACAAAAGCTGTTTGTTGTGCTCACTCTTCCGTCCATGTTTAACTTGTAATAAAACACTAACACTCAACGTTTTGAAATGGCACACCCTCCCAGTACTAATCAACATTGACAGTGTAATAAACGTGATAATACTCTTCAGTTTGAGGGGTTGCTTGACCCTACTTCACTTTAGTGAAGGGGACACACCTGTAACTGGTTCACATATCATTTGCTTATAATGTTAGCCAAAGACGGGATTCAAGCTCTGGAGCACATTACCCTAACCACCACTGCTTTTAACCCCCAAGTAATATTTCCATTGTCAGTTTGTAAAATGTTGGAAAAAGGAACGTTTTTGGAATGATCATAGCTGATTAATGATGGTGGCTGTCTATATCAGTGGTGGGCCAACTTCCTGATCCCCAAGCCACAGACAAAAATATTCATTTGGCCAAGAACCACCAGACACACGTGTCTAAATGTCGGGGTAGCTCCACAGCCGACTTGCACGCACTGGGTGGTTGAGCATTGTATTGAGAATTCTGAGTGAACGCCCCGCGAGTGCTCATGTCTGGCTCCACTTGCCAGGGGCAAGTGCTGATTGTTCATCTTCTAATTAATGATTTATTAAAGAGATACAAGTTAGTTGCACCTCCAGTGAGCCACCGTTGAAATGCCTCGGGAGCCTCGTGCTGCCGGGGAGTTGCAAGTCCGCGACCCCTGCTCGATATTAAAAACGCTCACCCACTGTTTGTGCACAGCGTCTTGAGACGCCGGTCTCCCGTTGTGGACGCTGCCGTTAATCCGCGCCGCGTCGTTTTTTTTTTTTTTGCCTCCGGCGGGCCGCAGACATCAACAAGTTCCTGTGGATGGTTCGCATCGGAGGCAGCACAGACACGGGGAAACACATCAAGGAGCACGACTACTACACGCCGGCCGGAGAGTTCCGCGTCGATCGCGAGGGATCCCCCGTGCTGCTCAACTGCCTCATGTACAAGATGTGCTACTACCGCTTCGGGCAGGTCTACACCGAAGCCAGTACGTGACCTTCCGGGGGCAAGCGGATTCTCTCTGTTGACTTGACGGTGGATGGCAATGTCATAGGGGGACAGTGCTGCACGATAATACCCCCCAAAAAATTGCTCTTTATATCTTGTAGCCACACACCAAGGTCGTGTATCCTGGGCAAATGAGAATTGTGAGCTTTGGTAATGCAAAAAAATACTTAAGTGGCTTACAAGAGTGCTCAAGAATGTCTGTGGCTTTTGTGCCGTTCAATGTTACTGCAGCGCTATGGTGATGCTTCTGGAGGACGTTCAAGTGTTTATCTGTCGAATGAAGATTCAAACTCGTATTGGATGCACAGCCTGGGATGTGTAGCCTAGTTTCATATCTACAAGACGTGAGCTGAATACCAATGTTAAACATGGCAGTCATTGTACTGAGCAGAGAGCTTGGAAAAAATCTTACCATCTGAGAAGGCTCCTACTGTTTACTTGATGGAAGCAGCTGTTTAATCGTAAACAATAATGTTTACCCCGAATTTAATCCTAATGTCTGAAACAAGGATGCCTGTGATCCAATTGCATAAGAATCTGTCCCACCAATGCTGGCAGAAGGGCCTTCGTTAGTGCGAATTCTAGTGAGTTATTTGTCTACTCTTCCACATTGACGAGATGTGTTGATAGAGGTGGGCGTGCCCACGCTTTACCCCACAACACCTGTTTATCGACTAACTGCGGTGGTGTATACCCATTCATACCGCTGCTGGGTAGACAGTCACTGAAAGATTGAATCGAACAGGCGACTTCTGGATTGCAAGTTCAGTCCACTAACCGTTCCACAGGGACAGCTCCGAATGTAGTAGGTATAGGGAGCTATATAGCCGGTCAACGGTGCTAAGATTCACGTAGGCTATTGAAAGATGGGGGTAGGGGGTGGGAGGTGGAATTATAATTTGCCACGTGTTTGCGATGGAAAAGAATTGAACCCCGTAAACCAGTTTCTCAGCGCAGTCCTCTCTAACGTATGTATGTATAACACGTAGGCTTTCGCGACCAATATCCATAATACAGGTTTTTACTAATTGGTTGTGTCAGGTAGTGGCAGATTCAATGACACATATTTACGCGATTTAACCCAACAAAAAATACACCCTGTTATGTATGTTGAACTTCTTTCGCATCGTACGTAACCAAACCGTGCTGATCAGAGGTGTGCGGGTGAAGTACAACAAATTAAACACTGTGCGTCAGCCCCGAGCCGTGAAAGTGTAACGAGCGAGAGGGTGCGCATTGTGTGTGTCGTGGTGGTGGTGGCAGAACGCCCGCCCGGCTATGACCGCGTGCGCAATGTGGAGATCGGCAACAAGGACTTTGAACTGGACGTGCTGGAGGAGGCATACACGACGGAGCACTGGCTCGTGCGCATCTACAAGGTGACGGACACATGCGCCGCTGCTCATCACTCCCCCCTCCCGGCCACCGCCTCGCCAAATCGCTTCTTCAGTGCAGTTTTGAACCGGATGCGGCTACATCCGCAGGTCGCCTTCAATGTTGGGATGGTTCTGTGGTGGCAAGTGTTAAGGTGGTCAAATATGGGCGGTGCTCGGCGTTTGTTGGCTGTTCTGATGCAACGACTCATCAATTAAAATCAGTTCTTAAACTCTGGCCTTAGTTTTCAGCCAGGTCAGTGTGTTCCTCTCTTCATCACTGTGGCTTATCATCACTTGTCCCACCTGGTTTTGCCAGTAACCCACTGATACATGCAATGAATAGCGCGTGTAAAAATCTATTATGATATATTCGGATTCAATGCACATGTTATATATATGCCAATGGCATGAATAAAACTACAAAAAAAGAAAAAAAATGAGTAACACTCAATTGGACGCTAAAAATTAAACTAAATTTTTTTTTTGTTAATAGTGTGTTGACCCCAAATTGATGGCGCTGTGAATAATTTCGTGCATATTTGTCAAGTGGCACTTAATAATCTGACCGTGAAAAGTTTGTGGATTAAATAGGCCCGGACCGGATGTCAAATTAGTCTTGATAACCGTGGCGCTGACTGCTTCACATAGTGAGCTATTCCAGCTGTCATTAAAAGAATGACACCTTTTGATTTTGTGAGCAATTCTTTAAATGTTGGCATGACACAGCTTACATTGACCTATTATATGGGATACTTTACATGCACATGCACAAAGTAAGTGTTGCACATAATGTTTAAAAATTTATTTTCAAGAGTGGGGTCCAACATGGATTCAGTCCAGCATGCTGATGAATTGAGCCTCAAGCAGATTATAAAAGCAGTGCATTGTTTACATCTCTCCCCCTGTCCTGCCCGTATCCCTCCTCTCCCCCAATTCTTGCAATCAATGATACAGGCAATCGCTTAATAAACCAGCTGGGCTTGCGTGAATAAGGTCTCCTTATTGGATGTGTAAATATTCGCCAACTGTTATGAATCTGTGCGGTTCATATACACGGGTGTGATCGTTTCTCTGCACCCGTTAAAATATTTGCCAATAGCCAAACCGCCCGAGAATGTGCCCGATCTCACCAGAAGCTAAGCAGGGCTTTTAAGCCTGGAGAGTGTGCTGAAGGCGGCGACTGCCAATGCACAAACAAGTTGTCGTAGGCAGCAAGTGCCGTTGTTGCGACGTTGTGGCGAGCAGAGGGCGACGCAGAAAAACCTGTTGTTTTTACCGTCCTACTCTCCCACATCTATGCTCAGCCTACCTAGATGAATGAAACCCTGCCTACTCGCACAGGATGGCGAGTCCCTCATCCAGTTGTGGATTGACAGAATAATCAGTTCTCCTGTGTGTTTTCGGGCTTGTACCGCCGTGTTGGCTGTGGTACAAAACTGGAGTTTGACAGCACAGCTCTGTGAACTTTTCGCGATCTAACCTAAAAAAAACCACGGAAAATATTGGTCGCAAAAGCCTACGTGTTAAACTGGCGAAACGTATACAGTGGGGGGGATGTACCTGTACATATTGAATTCGTTTGTTAGATCATGCTTTAAATTTACACGCACAGACTTTATTATCGTTTGGCGTGGTAATGCCTGACTTGCCGTATCTTTACAAGTGTTTCCCTTGCCTGCTGTTATTGCTACCTACAATAACATGTCTTTTACATTTCACTGGGGGATATCACGCCCTGGTTTTACTCGCACCTGAACGCGAGAGCCTCTTTTTATTTACCAAACCCACTTAAAACGCCTACTGACAGCCTGATAAGAACGTCGAAAGGTTCCATTTCGTGTTATAGCACCAAAACATTGTAATTCGTGGATACGCTCATGCACACGGCCCTGTTGTCCATCCACTGCTGGTCAGTGCAGGTTGGTGAAAGTCGGGAGCATAAAGGCGGGGGCATAGAAGTACAGTACAACCAATTTATCATACTGCACTGCCTTTAGTTGCCCTTGGCGTAGTCTCGCGGCAGACTATCACGTGGCTTTTTTGCATGGTGTTGGGGCTTAATGTCTACCAATATCTCTAGAAATGCATAAAATCTCAGAGTCAAGTTGTTTAAGTCAAGTTTCTTTGTTCAACCACACATGGCAAAGGTCTATCCATTCAGACGCCGCTAAACGTGGGAGGTTGGACAACTGACGAATATAAACAGGATAATTTTAGATTTTAGAATATGGTGATATGTCGTTTTTAAATGGAAACTTTTTTAAAGTGTGTGTTTCTTTTTCCCTTTTCAGGTCAAAGATCTTGAGAATCGAGGACAGTCAAGAACATAGGGACACCTTGGTGGAATTTAACCTGCTGCAGTTTGTAGCAGTTTTTCAGTCAGCCCCTTTTATAAATATACACTGGCCAAAAGATCATAAGGCAAGTTGTGAACCGAGCAGAAAATGTTCCGCTTTTATTGGTCATTTGCCCCGCAAGGAAATGTGTAATGAAAGATATGTCTGAAGGCATTACGAACTGAATAAAAAAACACCAAAAATTCTAAACCAAGGCAAAAAAAAATAACACCAGAACAATTACAATTTACTCGCAACGTTCACTGTGTTTTATGTTTGTGTTGATCGTAATATCATTTGATGAAAATAATAATTTGAGTGACATGTTGAGCCACGTGTGTGAAGCTAAGAATTTACTGTCAGGGTGTCTGCATAAAACTGTTGCTTTGCGCTGTTTAAATCACTTGCAGTGTGTCCCCTGTCCTTAATTTGTTCTTTAATTTGGAATGAATTTGTAACTGATTTACGTGTAAGGCACTGAGACCAAAATGGGATTTTAAGTTTTGCGGGATATCAGGGGTGCCTGAAGCGTAATAAAATAACTTTTCAGTTAAAAGTGTGCAGCTATTCTGTGATTGTGGTCAGAGACCTTGCGAGCACAAAGACTATTTCATGAATGAAACGTTGAGGTCATAAAATTTTGATTTAAAGCTTTCGTGACTGCAGTAATTCATATTCTTAGTTTTTTCGGTAAAGTCACGTTGAAGAGAAACAACTAAATAATACAATATATATAAAACTATATATATACAATTATTGTTTGTAAAGTCACGTTGAAGAGAAACAACAAAATAATAAAATATATATAAAACTATATATACAATTATTGTTATATATATTTTATTGTTTCGCTTCAACGTGACTTTACCGAAAAAACTAAGAATACGTTGAGGTCATGTTTATGTTAAATATTCTTGTACGGTTGAACAACATTATCTTTCTAGGAATGGACAATTCTTTCCGTGCAATTTCTACTTCCCCATGCTGCCCGTTGCAGCCTTCAATCTTAGCCCCTAAGTTTTCGAACATATCTTTTGGGGGAAAATTCAGGCTGTATAGGTTGTAAAGAAAGTCAATAGTTAATTTAATGTTTTGTAAATGTTATTAAAGCGAAATCTGTAAATCAGATATCGCTTGAATAACCTTTTGCTATTGGGGGAACTGAGATTTGTTGGCAATATTTTTGCTTTAAATATTGACTGGAATTTATTCTCACATGTCTCCTGAATAAAATAGAGCATTATATGTGTTTCATCTTCAATTAATGAACCAATACATATTGTAAAAGTAGCGCCAGACTAGCATTAATTACTGTTATATTTGAAGACATGCACAACCAAATTGTAACAACTCGTATTGCCTTTTACTGGTTATTTAGAAACAGCCCTAAATCAACACGGACACATAGAATACCTTCACATAATGTAAAATTTTGATATAAAGCTTTCGTGACTGCAGCGACTCATTCTTGGTTCTTTCGATAAAGTCACGTAGAAGGGAAACAATAAAATAAAAAATATAAAACAATAAAATTCTCACGACGTTTCGACTGCAACACAAGCAATCATCGTCAGGTGTGAAAACCACAACAAGAAAATTTTCTTTTTATTGTTTCCCTTATTTTATTGTTTCCCTTATTTTATTGTTTACCTTCTACGTGACTTTACCGAAAGAACCAAGAATATAATGTAAAATGTCAGTGACTGGGGATTTCCACATTCAGGAACATTTCTGTTTTTAGGCAGTATTACAATTCTAAAGTGCACAAGAACAACGTGTCCTCGACAGTATAGGGTGTTTGTTTTCTGTGTATTGGCAATATCGGACTTAAAGGGAAAGCCCACCACTTTATTTCAATTGGAAGTTGGTAATGCAACGGTAATGAGGAACACATTAACGCAAATCTCACCATGGCAGGGCAGACACGCGCGCTCTCATGAGAGCATGAGTGAAATAGTCCGTCATTCGGCACTAACCTTTGGAACGAAGCATCGTGTGAGGAAGCATGCCCCTCTAGCCCATCGTAGTTCAGCCACAACCTGTCTAATCACTCGGCATTTAGGAAGCGCGTGTGACCTTGCATAGAATTATAACAGGTGTTGGCGAGGCTTCGAATGTTATGATAAAATTTCGCCAAAGCCCTCCACCATCATCTGGGCTGGTGTCGTGCATTGTGGAAATGAGCAGACGACAATAGGCATGTAACGATGTATCATTCATCAATTGCATTCAATGGCGTGTTTGAGAATTTGAACTTAGGAAAATTACATCCAGATGTTGAAAAGAGCCATGCGGTTTATTTACAGTTTATTTTTGGTATAGCCCTGTGAGCCATTCGGCTCTTGAATCGGGTGCAACCACAACAAACAAAAACACGAACAAGAAAACATTTTAAAGTGACTATGTGAGTGTGCAAACAGAAAAATCCATGAAAAAATAGCAAAATATTCCTGAAAAAAAGCACCGTACACCAACGCTGTGTGCAAAAAATCCCAGTGGGATGGAAGTCAACAACATATTCTCGGTTCTTTCGGTAAAGTTACGTAGAAGGGAAACTATTACAAATATAAAACAAAATTCTCAAGACGTTTCGACTGCAACACAAGCAACCATCATCAGGTATGAAAACCACAGCAAGAAAATTTGACAAAAGTGAAGGTTTTTTTAACGTTAGCACTGTGGAGAGCGATTATGCAGTTATTCAGATGGACGAGTCCATTTATGTTCCAAACAGATGGACGAGTCCTGAATAACTGCCAAATCGCTCTCCGTGGTGCTAACGTAAAAAAATAACGCCACTTTAAAATTGCTATGGTTTTCACCCCTGATGATGGTTGCTTGTGTTGCAGTCGATACGTCGTGAGAATTTTATTGTTTTATATTTTTTAATTTATTGTTTCCCGTCTACGTGACTTTACCGAAAGAACCAAGAATATGAATCCCTGCAGTCACGAAAGCTTTAAATAAAAATTCAATTGGTTCTTTGTTTTGTTTTGCTCCGACAAAGAAATGGGCCTTCATGTCACGAGCCTTTTTTTTGCATACGTGTCAGTGTGTGTTTTCACTCTGCTAATGCATCCACACATACATAGCTCAAGGGTTTAATTGACCAGGAATACCTGCGTGGCCGTGCTTGTGACCTGTTTACGTAAGCCCCTTTTTGTTTTATCAGCAAAGGTTTACCCAGCATTGACTGTTGCAGCACAGCCTGAGCTCGAGTTGGTAGTTGGTACACTTAATATCTCGTGCAGCTAGTTCAGTCTCATTTATTTGTGCGATTCCTGAGTTCACAAGCTGAAGGTGTGCGCCTCACGTGGTGATTGTTCTCACCGGAAAGATACACTTCCAAACAGAGGCTTCTCTTTTCGTATCTTTGCGTGGTGGATGTCTTGACACGCGTGGGACCTTGTTCAGCCCGGTGCTGCGTTAAAAAAAAGCGCACGGCGTGCCCACGCGCGAATAGCGTCAATCTCGCCCGAAGGAACTCGACACAAGACAAACCCCGAGCTCGCGAGTAGCGATGGCGTTCGACGACATCGTGGCCGTGAACTGCAACGGGAGTGGTGGGGACGACGTGCGCGACCCGAACGCCACCTTCTCGGTGTACCTGTACTTCAAGGCGGACACGGACGCGAGCGCCGTGGCAATGTACGTGTACTGCGTGTCGTGCTTCGTGCTTTCGCTCGTCCTCAACTGCCTGCTCGTCGCCACCGTGGCTCTGAGCCCGAAACTGCACAGCCCCATGTACATCCACTTCCTCTACCTCTCCGTGCTCAACCTCCTGGCGTCCGTCTCGGGTCTCGTGTTCGTCCTCAGCGCAAGCGCCGGGCGGATGCGCAGGATCGGCGTCGCCAGCTGCCTCGCCCAGTCGTTCTTCGTCTACTTCACCACCTTCAGCGAGGTGCTCGCCCTGGGTCTCATGGCCCTCGACCGCTACATCGCCGTGTGCCTGCCCCTGCGCTACCCGGCGCTCGTCACGAACCACCTCACCGAGAAGGCGGCGTGCGGCGCCCTGGTCGTGTGCCTCTCCTCGGCCCTCCTCGTCACGCTGTTGTCGTCGAGGGAAAATCTCTGCGCCGACACGCTCATGGGCGGCGTCTACTGCGACGTGGTGGCGCTCTCCAGGTTCACGTGCCCTCGCACCAAGGCCACCGAGATCGCCGTGGCCGTTGTCTCCTCCGCGCTGCTCCTGCCGGCCATCGGGTGCATGGCCTTCTCGTACGTGCAGATCCTGCGCGTGCTTTGCGCGCCCGGGTACGGGGAGAGTCGCTCCAAAGCCATACGCACGTGCACCACCCAGGTAACGGCGGATGGAACTTAAAATAAAAAAAAGTTGCGCTCGATTCCATTGCTTTCCCTGCCCGCCACGTGTAGTGGGATGGGGGTGGTGCCAGTGCCCGGATTAAGCTCGTGCGGTGTTGTAGCATTTGTTATAAAGGGGCCCTAAATAAAATAAAACCCATCAAAACACAATTTTTTTACTTGCATAGTAAAGTCATTGCATTTTTTTTTATTTGCGATACAGCCAGATAATACGACAAATCGCTAACCTTAAACACCCAGTCGTGCATCAAAGTTGTAGGCGGTATTGTACTATAGTAATAGAGTTAGTGCGGAATCACTGAACCGAAATTGATAGCTTGAAAGCGTTTAGCACGGGGCCCTTGAAAGTGCGGGGCCCGTGGCATACGTAGCTACTTTTGCTACGAGGATAATCCGGCACTGGATCGTGCCCCCGCTTGTGTGTGTGTGCGTGTGTCTGTTGCTTGTCTTGAGAGAGTGGTGGGAATTTTAACGTTTCCCTTGACCGAGGGGGCGATGAGCCGGGTGTGGAGCGACGCCTGCGATCTGCCGTTGTGGAGGCGCGGGGTAGGTGGCGTTTGTCGCTTAAAATGGGAAAGTCGCCAAATTAACCTCGAGACAGTTGCTAGATAGCCCCAATGTGACCATACAATTGACCAAGTGTAGCACACACTAATCTGATACAGGATCTTTAATGTATACCTGTAATCGCTCGTATATATCTGCATAATGTCCTCATTCAACATATTTACACGACAGTCCCCACTCTTTTTTTGACGTAGATTTGTCTTGGATCACTGGTGCATGGTTCGGGCATGTTGCTGCTACTGGGTGGCTTTGTTAAATCAAAAAGGTTTCAGCTTTTCCATTCAACAGTGAACCTTGATAGATCTGTTACGAGTCTTGTGCGACATTTTGTTGCTAGGGAAACCCAAAACATCGGCAAGGGTTTGTGTAACAATAGCTCGGTTAGATTATACAAACCGTGACTCACACCGGGTGGACCATGATGAGGCACATTGTCTGAGGAATTGAATCTGCGAGCTTTGAGCGTTTTTTTTTCTCTCTCCCTTTTGTGTGGGAGGTTTTCCTACGAGTCCCCTATATTCCTCCCATTGATGAATATACACACAGAGGCACAATGAGGGAAGGGAGGGGGGAGAGGATAGTGCTCAGGAGTTGGCAGTCCAGCAATACATTGTGAGACGTATCTGTATAGAGCATTGGACATTAGCCACCGCGTATCTGTGCGCTTTCTCCAGCTACTCAGAGATGACAACCCACATTCCAAACGCTCTATCAATGGACATGACCAAACATCCTCAATTGCAAGACTATGGGAGCGAGTTTGTGCGCAGCATCACCGATTAATCTCTCTTGATTTTGAGACTTGAACGGGAGGAGGCTTTTCAGCATAATAACTTTTAACTCTCAACGATGTTTGCAACTTTTCGCCACCTCCAATTTAAAAAAAAGCAAGCTTCTCCGGGTGTAAACTGTTCGCACGAGATGAGCGCGATGGCATTGTCGGCTGATGTTGTTGTTGGACCTTTGCCCGGTACAGGTGATGGTGTTCCTGCTCTTCTACTGCACGTGGAGTTTGGCAGGAATCGCTCCGTTCCTTGACCCGTGCTTTGACCCCCCGTTCGTCCACAACCTGCAGGTGGGGGAACATCCTCGTGGCCGTTGACGCAGCGCGTCCGTCCGTTGCACAGCTTCGCGGATTTTAATCCAGCGGCCGCCACTGATAATATAGTTATCAGCCCCAGTTCAAGGCGAGAAATACCCTCTTATATTTGTGTTGTGCTTTGTAAGAGACGAACCGGAACTGGCGGCGCATTTGCGCGGGATACACGGTTGGGATGGTGGGTGGGGGCGGGGGGGGGAGGGGGAGCGTGACGTCAGGACGTACAAATCCGGCTCAACGCTGTGGGATGCGGGTGACGTCATCGCGTGGATGTGCGCGGTGACGTCACCACCGCGCACTCGCTCGCTCGCAACGTGCGCCAAACAGCCAGCCAGCCAGTAAAACTTTTTTTTTAAATAACATGGCATATTTTTTTTTAACAAAACTGCATGTGGAGAGATGGATATGTCAAGGAGACAGGTCTGTTTGTTTATATGTTCTTGACAGCAACACTAACGATGATTAATTTGAGTGAAATGTTAATAGTGCTTTGTGCGCCACTCACATTCAAAACGGCATCACCAATATTTGTTTACTAAGAAATGCAGCAGGTGGCGATGTCTGCCCCCTTGTAAGGGGAGTCGCAGTTTGTTGACAATGGCGAAGGTGATTGATGATGCCATTGTGCTGTTTTGCATACTCATGGCAATCAATGAAAACAAAACAATCCCATTAAACAAAATTAAGACGTTTACTTTACAAACTCACGTGTGTTCCTGACACGCGCGAATGCATTGTGAAATATATATGTAACGAAATATTCACGAGCTTTGTTTTGGAGAGCATAAGTCACAAGATCCATGAGTTGACGATATGATCTCCATATATCTGTCCTTCCACATACAAAAAATAAAAGTATCTTTATACTACCCGATCTATGCTTTACGATATTTAAAAATATATAGTTCAGTCTTTCGCTCAATGATACCTCCTGTCTTACAGCCCAGAGCCAGCGTTTAAATGTCCACATTCCTCTGCCAGGGGATGAGTCCACCAATCGGATAAGCTCAATTGACTACTCACAAAGCCCTGCGCGTTTAATCAACCCCCGAAAGATGACGAGCTGTGTACGCCTCCGAGCATGGTTTGAACCTTCAACGTGTCGATTGGAAGCTAGGTTGCATAAATAAATATCCGTTGCGCCACCCAACAGGATGTATCCTTTGACAGTGTACAGCAAATTCATGCATAATTTGTATCCGATAATCACCTGGAACAAATCACTTGTAATGCGGTCGATCTCGTCTGATCTTAGAAGCTAAGTCAGGTGTGGAGCCTGCACGGTGCTTGGATGGTCGACCACCAATGCATACAGCTGATGTTACAGGCTGCTGCTGCTGCTGCTGGGCTATGTTGTCAGCGGGAGAGGTAGCCAGTTCAAATCTTGATTGGCGGTTGACTCAGCCCATCATAACTCCGAGGTTAGTTAAAATTAAAATATATCACGCTGCGCTATGAACCAGGTCACCCGAGTTCGATTCCTGCTCACGGCCAACACCAGTGACAATGATCTGAACCGGTCCTGGGCCTCTTCTCCTAGGTAGAACCAGCCTCAAACGAGTACCTGGTGCGGTGTGTAGAAACACCACCACTGGAGAGACAAAGGCGGTCGGGTGTGGTGCTGGCCACCCTCGTGTACTGTGCTGGACTTCATTGGCGCGACTTGCTAACGGCACTTGCCCCAACTTTCTGTTAAGGCAATTCTGGGGGGGGGGAGGGGATCTTTGTCTTTGTCTCCCACAGGTAACGGCACAGATCCTGTTCGTCACGCTGCCCCCAGTCCTGGACCCTCTCGTATACGGACTCAGGACCAAAGAGGTGCGGGTTGCGGTATCCAGACTTATCGTACGCTACGGGCAGTACCTCTTCCCGCAGGACAGGATGCTGCCCCGAGTAGCCACCGTCACGTTGTCAAACGCGCCATAATGGAGTCTTGGCGGGGCCGCCTTTGCATTTCTCCAGAGGCCACGGCTGGGCTCTCCGTGTCGGTGCAGGGGGGAGCCGCAGTTGCTTTGCTACGCGACATTGTCACTCCAAGGACCCACTTGGGAAAACTGCACGTGCAGTGCTGATGACTCGTTGAAGGAAGGAGACTTCATCGTCTTTGGGATGCGATGTCGGAGCCTGGAGCCCTGGAGGTGTGAAGCAGGAGGTGTTTAAATGAGCTGTCTTTTTCTGTCGGAAACATGGTGGCGAGATGTTAACTACCTCGCCTGGTATACATGAGTTTGTGGCTTAGATCCCGACCCTGACGTCTGCTGTATATTTGGAGTTGGAATGTTTTTCCCGTGGTCACGTGGATTTTTCCCTGGGTCCTCCGGTTTGTCCCTCCACATATAGAACGCGCCTTTAGAGTATTTGGCCGCATTAACTTCCCACGTGATACGCCACTTCGTTGAGCTATCATTTGTGGCCAGGTCGCTTCTAAAAAAAAGCTACATAGCTCAAGTGGGCCTTACCTGGTTAAATAAGCAATAAGTTCTACGTACATTTTTATTTAAAGCTTACGTGACTGCAGGGATTCATATTCTTGGTTCTTTCGGGAAAGTCACGTAGAAGGGAAACAATAAAATAATAAAAATATAAAACAATAAAATTATCACGACGTTTCGACTGCAACACAAGCAATCATCATCAGGTGTGAAAACCACAGCATGAAATTTTTTTAAAAAAAATATTGCTGTGGTTTTCACACCTGATGATGATTGCTTGTGTTGCTTGTGTTGCAGTCGAAACGTCGTGAGAAATTTTTGTTAATTATTATTTTATTATTTTATTGTTTCCCTTCTACGTGACTTTACCGAAAGAACCAAGAATAAGTTCTACATAGTTTAGTTTAACATGTTTTGAAGGTTCATAGAGTTTTGAAAAGACAGTTGTGGGCACATATACAGTATGTACAGTGAGGGAAAAAAGTATTTGATCCCCTGCTGATTTTGTACGTTTGCCCACTGACAAAGAAATGATAAGTCTATACTTTTAATGGTAGGTTTATTTGAAAATTGAGAGAGAATAACAACAAAAAATCCAGAAAAATGCATGTCAAAAATGTTATAAATTGATTTGCATTTTAATGAGGGAAATACGTATTTGACCCCCTCTCAATCAGAAAGATTTCTGGCTCCCAGGTGTATTTTATACAGGTAACGAGCTGAGATTAGGAGCACACTCTTAAAGGGAGTGCTCCTAATCTCAGCTTGTTACCTGTATAAAAGACACCTGTCCACAGAAGCAATCAATCAATCAGATTCCAATCTCTCCACCATGGCCAAGACCAAAGAGCTCTCCAAGGATGTCAGGGACAAGATTGTAGACCTACACAAGGCTGGAATGGGCTACAAGACCATTGCCCAGCAGCTTGGTGAGAAGGTGACAACAGTTGGTGCGATTATTCGCAAATGGAAGAAACACAAAAGAACTGTCAATCTCCCTCGGCCTGGGGCTCCATGCAAGATCTCACCTCGTGGAGTTGCAATGATCATGAGAACGGTGAGGAATCAGCCCAGAACTACACGGGAGGATCTTGTCAATGATCTCAAGGCAGCTGGGACCATAGTCACCAAGAAAACAATTGGTAACACACTACACCGTGAAGGACTGAAATCCTGCAGCGCCCGCAAGGTCCCCCTGCTCAAGAAAGCACATATACATGCCCGTCTGAAGTTTGCCAACGAACATCTGAATGATTCAGAGGACAACTGGGTGAAAGTGTTGTGGTCAGATGAGACCAAAATGGAGCTCTTTGGCATCAACTCAACTCACCATGTTTGGAGGAAGAATGCTGCCTATGACCCCAAGAACACCATCTCCACCGTCAAACATGGAGGTGGAAACATTATGCTTTGGGGGTGTTTTTCTGCTAAGGGGACAGGACAACTTCACCACATCAAAGGGACGATGGACGGGGCCATGTACCGTCAAATCTTGGGTGAGAACCTCCTTCCCTCAGCCAGGCCATTGAAAATGGGTCGTGGATGGGTATTCCAGCATGACATTGACCCAAAACACACGGCCAAGGCAACAAAGGAGTGGCTCACGAAGAAGCACATTAAGGTCCTGGAGTGGCCTAGCCAGTCTCCAGACCTTATCCCATAGAAAATCTGTGGAGGGAGCTGAAGGTTCGAGTTGCCAAACGTCAGCCTCGAAACCTTAATGACTTGGAGAAGATCTGCAAATAGGAGTGGGACAAAATCCCTCCAGAGATGTGTGCAAACCTGGTGGCCAACTACAAGAAACGTCTGACCTCTGTGATTGCCAACAAGGGTTTTGCCACCAATTACTAAGTCATGTTTTGCAGAGGGGTCAAATACTTATTTCCCTCATTAAAATTCAAATCAATTTATTCAAATTTTAACATGCGTTTTTCTGGATTTTGTTGTTGTTCTTCTGTCTATCACTGTTCAAATAAACCTACCATTAAAATTATAGACTGATCATTTCTTTGTCAGTGGGCAAACGTACAAAATCAGCAGGGGATCAAATAATTTTTTTCCCTCACTGTACCATACATGTACAGCTCTAGATGAAGGCTTCCCAATGCTGTGCGGGTATTGGGAGGTTATTTGACCATGCTTAGCCACAGATGATGATTATTGATGTGCCTAAATGTAGTCATGTTAAGGTAGTTTGTTATGCAATTCGGACCTAGTTTTCCTTAAGATTTATGGATAACAATTGAATCTAAATTCTTTATATGTGAAAATTATCGTGGCAAATTACATCTAAATGTGATTTTAATGTTTGCAGATGTCACTACGGTTTGTTTAGAATGAACAAAGAAGCACGTTGAACTGTAAAGTGGGATGTTTAGAATACTGTGTGACTACATTCACAAGAGAAGTGTCTTGTTTCAATGTCTGCCCAAATCCTAATTTTACTCGATACTAGATTACAAATAATCAAAAAATGACAGGCCATCTGTAGCCACTGTCACCAAAGTGTTATTTATCAAATATATGATGCATCATATGTGAGAAATCACTTGTGTAAAATAAAGATAATACAATGGTTATGCCTATGACATAAATGCATAATAATTGTCATTGCTGATCATCCACAATTGGGGTCTGGAACGGTTGTGCAGTGGTTATTACACTGCACTGAGATCGATTTCTGGCCACGGCTGACATCAGTGGCGAGTGATATCTGAACGGGTCCTTGGGGCACCCCCCACCTCCTCCTTAGAGTCAGGCAAACCTCGCACTGACCAAGTATAGTCAAACAGCCCACGCGACCGAGAGGCGTTGGAAGACCCTCATCGAGCATTGTATAGGGCTCGAGTTACGTCTTACTGAGTAGCCAACCATGTAAAGTTGTAGCCGCGGAAGCTTGTGCGTTTTTTTGGACGGTGCCTGGTTACAGGTTTGCGCTGTTGCGCAAAGACTCGCACGCTTCGCTGGCCATGCAGGGTGGCGCGCTCTCAATGTACTACGATGGCACCCCCCCAGACCCTTTTTCCTTTGCCGTTGTGAAACGTGGACTGTGGAAAGTCGCGATGGCAATGGTGTGTGGGTGGCAGGGAGGGGGAACGGACGGGTGCAAATAAGTTATAAACGTCTCAGAGGCAACTCTTTTATCACGCGAGCAATAGAGCAAGGTTCCTTGAGAGGAAGCCTCAATCGCCTCTGAATGTGCACGTGACCGCAGAAGAGAACGGCGACCTCCAAGAACTGGCGATTGTGCAAGGTGAGCTGCTGTTGCTGTTTGTGGCTCTGCGGGCCGAGCCCGTTTTTCGAGTGTCGCGTCCGTTGCCATAGCGCGGTGTATAATAGCGACACGTCCAGGAGGGGAAAGCACTCGAGGCTCGAAGCTGCCAGCGACTCGCCACGCTCCCCGTCTGCTCGAGGTATGGCAGCGATAGCTCTCATGCCCTCACTCTGCTGCGAGCGCATCAGTGGCGGCAATCATGGACGGTCAAAACATTTTTTTTTTAAAGATTCAAGGATATAAATACACGTTTCTGTCTGTTTAAGTATATTTTTTTGAAGGCCATTACATTTGCACATAGAGTAAAACTAAACTTGTGCCGTAATATGTTAATGCTGGGATGGACAATGAGAGTAGTGTCAGTGTTTATTGTGTGCTTATGTTTTAAGCATCATTCTCAAATTCTTGTGGTTGCTCTCATGATGTGTACAGAGCATTTGCTAGTCGTTGATTACCAGCAGTAACAAATGATGGTGTAGCAGTGGTAGTTCTTGTGGTAGTTAGCTGACTATCCTACGCACCCAGAGACCCGAGTTTCAATGCCGAGCGATATTTTGTCACGGATGTCCTGGGCTCCCCCTTCAACCCACAGTGACCAGCGTGGTGGAGTATGGTTAAACAAGCCCCATAAATTTTGATTTAAAGCTTTCGTGACTGCAGTAATTCATATTCTTAGCTCTTTCGAGAAAGTCACGTTGAAGGGAAACAATAAAATAATAAAATATATATAAAACAATAAAAAATTCTCACGTGAGAATCTCACGTCGTGAGAATTTTTATTGTTTTATATATATTTTATTATTTTAGTGTTTCCCTTCAACGTGACTTTACCGAGAGCTAAGAATAAGCCCCATAAATTACCTGGTGCCAGTAGGCCTTCACCTATAAGTGAATTGATAAAGGGCTGTAAAAAACACACTGGTGTCACACTTTAAAGAAGACAAGTTACTTTGCTCTCTGATGACGGAATTGTATATTATCACGTGTTTATTGCAAGACTTAAAAGCAATGAATAATCTTAGGTGGATTCTGCTAAACTTTTCAACAACTTTGCAGTGATACTTGGGAACCCAAATTAAAACATTTCGGTTTATTTTATTGTAACGTTATAAACATGGGACTTAATTATAAATGTGCAAAATGTAAGCTTTCTAGCCTTTCTAGAACATCGCAAAAATTCAAACCACTCACAATTATGTATATGTCCAGGATTTAAAAACAGGTGTGGTGTTGGATATCTTATTACATGATGTTTATTACATGTGTACTGGCTATTTGTGCATGTAAATTATTGTAATAAATTTACGTTTAATATTTAAACCGACAAAAAGCGTTTTATATGTATATACATGGTTGTGTCAATACTGTATGGGCAGAATGATAATATTTTTTGCTATGCTGCCCACATCGTAATACTGTTTTCAGAATGATCGTTCCTTGAACGCAGGAGCATTCCCATGAAAGATTGAACTGCAAATGCCCTCCTCTCGAAGTGAATGTCAATCCCAATAAAGGGCACGGCATGTTATGGTTTTGTGGACCCACTGCCTTCATAAGAGGCTGCCCTGCGTGACTGTGTCCTTTCTATTCGACTGTCCTTTCGGTGTGGGGGGGGGTCATTGAGCATAAAGCTGGCGGAGGTGTGGGCTGATTTGGCCCATTTGTAATGTCACAGGGGTAGGAGGATGTCACAAGATGTAAATGTCGTTGGTCGAAAACTCACTCGCAAACCCGAGTAGAGGACCCCATGCCGTAATGAGAGGGTCATTGCCTTTAAGATCGGCAGTTCACCAGCATTGATTTAACCAAGCCCGACTGCTGATGAGACGCTGCGTGTTGAAACTGCTGGAATGATGCACTCCTAGAAGGCTGCGCGGCCGATGGGCTCGTCAAAGTAATGCTCGCACGTAACTGTTTCTGTGGATGGACGGATCTGTGAAGGAGAGACAGACAACATTGTCAGCGAAGGAGACGAATTGCCGTGAAGCCTGCGTACTGCGGCACGAGGCATTGTTCTGTAGGGACATCCCGGGGATTTTCCACAACGCGTGACGTAGGGGGTTCAGGTGACGGGGGGGGGGGGGGAAACAACCCTTAATTGTTTGCATTCATTGATCTCGATGAAGTGATCTAAATATAACCCGGTGAAAATAGTAAACAACACAGGTCTCACGTAGCAATGCCCGCGATACTCGTATTAATGTTGATTTACTCTAGGGGATTTTACAGACAATGGTTTGTAGAACACGTGTCATACCGGGGTGCATTGCCAGACGTTCTTTGCACGATAGGCTTTTGTGTGTAGGCGGAATGGGTGCAGTGCCAAACCTACCTGCTGTGTGCGCGTGAACCGCCATTCCCGCTGGTGAACGCTTTGTCGCGTTGTTGTCTGAGATGTGCTGGCTTGGTCGTTCCAGGAGAAATAATTAGGGAACAGGAAAACACGTCTGGGCTGCCGTATGATCATACAACAGAAGGAAACAAAATGCATACAACAGTGGTTCATGTGGCAGCCAAACGTGTTACATACTCCAGCTATAATTCACATCGGCAGTTTTAAAAAAATGTTCAATTAGAGAAAATGGTTGTTTGTGCGAGAGTGGGCAAACAAGGACATCCGGTATTCTTAAACAAAGGTTTTGGCTTTTATTTTTTTTAAACTGGCTCACAAATCTCACGTAACGGAGGTAAGGAGGAGCGCTTGTGGAATGGTTAAGCCTCTCGTGAATCATAGGCGTAGACATTCCATCTCAGCTGGAACAATCTGATGAGCTATGAAGCTCCCTTCCATTGGTGTCAGCACCAGCTGGGGTCAAGCAAAATGCATGTCCACTGTGGTGGACTGACATGATTTGTTGGCATTTCGGTCAGAGTGCCACGTGTTATTCAGTTTTACAACCTAGCGGTGGACATTATGACGAAGGCAGCGAAACGTAAAACAGAGTTTGACCTTCAAGACGATGGCGATTGGTGGAGGCTGGGTGTCCACTCTATGGCAGATGATCCGAATGTTATTAAAGCTATTTATTTTGGGGTTCGTTTGGCTAAAATCACACGGTCTTGCTTTTAACAAATAATTAATAATGCATCTGTGAATCTCACTCATTAAGCTTCCAACAGTCGGTGTGGTTCCAAGAGGGGATTTCAAAGTCCCATGTAAGAAGACCGGATACGTCACTTGCTGGTACCATCTGAGATGGATTTTTTTTTTTTACAAAATGTAAAAATGGCACAATCGTTCTAACCCATTAATTTAACAAAATCCTAAAATAATTCACTTGAACTCGCCATCTTGCCAGCAACCAAATCAACAACCTAAATGCCAGATCACAGAAGCTGCTTCGTAATTGGATGCGTAATAATGGGAGAAGTCTAACCGTGTGGGATAATTTCCAAAGCTCAGATAAAACAATTTCTTGCAAAGGAAACCCTCCAGCCTTGGGTCAAGTTGTGTTGTTAACTCAGGGACACCTGTAGAGTGACTCACAACATTCAGGTGAATACACCACATGCGTACAGTAGCACAATAACACGGCTCCCATGTGGTGCCTTTATCAGGCTATTAGCGAGCACTTATAAAGGTCGGCATGGCAATCGTGTGGTTGGTGATTGCCAACTCAACGCTCGGCTGCATTTGTGTCCCCCCTGTGCCGGTGTTTACACACTGCATCAGGTACTCACTGAACGCTGAGTCGAATAGTTCAGTTGTTTCCCGACTATGGGCGTTATTCATGGCCGGGAATTAAACTAGGGTGGCCCAGTTCGTAGCGCAGCAGTGTGCAAACCACTGTACCGCCACTGCCTTTACGCCATGCACAAAGGCAAAGATCCCCCATGTAGTCTTTAATTGACTGTTGGGGCAAGTGCTGTCAGCAAACACCTATTAAGGCCCGCATGGAACTCGAGATGCTGGGTGGTCAACACCACGCCTGGCCACCTTTGTCTCCCAAATGCGAAATGTTTACACACCAATTATTTACTCGTTTAAGGCTGAGTTGACCTAGGGGAGGCCCAGGACCAGTTCATATGTTCGACACGAGCACACGCACGCGCACTCGTGTCACCGGAGACTGAGAGACTGCTTAGGGAACATGATCAGAGCAACAGCTCGTGATGAAAGTGGCTCATCTTTCAGCATCTGACTCATTGCTCTGTTGAATGTAGCTAAACAGGCGCATTGCCAGACTTACGAGGGGATTGGGATTAGCCTACGGCCAAAGCACCCGGCACGCATCCTATATTGACAATATCTCAGAAGCTAAGCAAGTGTTGAGCCTGGACAGTTCGGAGATGGGCAACCACCGCGCACTGATAGGTGCTTGAGGCTGCTGCTTTGGGGCTACCATCCGTGCAGCAGATTCCAGTGCGGAAAAAAAAACCAAATCCATTGTTGTACCGCACCTCTATGCTCTCGTGTCTACGCTGCCCACCTTAACAAACCAGCTCTGACCAGCTTGAAGTGTGGTCGAATAAGCCACATGGTGTATGTAGGCCTTCATCCAGCAGCAGCTACAAGGTGGCTCATGTTGATGATCATAATAGGTACATTACGACAGTACTGATGCTGAGACAGGCAAACATATGATAAATAACTAATAAGGAGAATCGGTTGTTTTTCACTGTGGCCGCCCCTGAGGCTTTAGAAAAACAAATGGTTTTCAACAGCATTTGTTTCAACAGGCAAACCGGACCGATTTCAATTTTCATCAGAGCGTGGACTTGTTAAACACATGCTGCACTACTCCTAATAATACAACTGTATAGAGCGATTGGAAAATTAATATGCAGGGCGCATGTACGGAGATGCACGTTAGATTGAAAGTGTGACCTTTTGTTCGGCAAGAGGGAAGGGATTATAGGGGGGGGGGGGTCTTATATGCACTGAGTAATGCTGGTTAACATTTTAATTGACTCGTGTACTGAGCATTGAGCTGAGGGAAGTTGGCGTCCTTGAGTTCAGTTGCAATGTTAGAGGCAGTCAGAATCTATAGATGTCTGTATGCCACTGTGCTTGCCTAAAAACTCACTGAAGCAAAACCATTATTATTATTATTGTAATCGTACCACTATTAATTTATTAAACGACGTTTGTTTGTCAGTTTGCGTATAACTCCAGAAACAAAAGTCGTACAAAGATATTACCCAAAAAATCCGCTAAATAAATAATTCCCCTTATCAAAAGTGCAACTTTGTCACGTGAAAGGGCGTGGATCTGACCTGGGGCGTGGATCTGACCTGGGGAGTGAACACAAACGCGTCTAGTGGAGAGAACAGCTCACCGATCACCATCTCACCGTCACCTGTCAGTGACAAAACAACATAGACTGAGCTAACACTACAGAGTGCAACAGATGCGTGTTTGGACAAGGTGAAGAGAGATAGAGAGTGCGGATTGGATGCTCAATTCATAATTCGTTGCGCCAAATAGGCCCGATTAAGGTTGCGGTCGCGAGACCAGCGTGGATATTATGGTGACCCAGGTCAATCTTGCAAACGAGACTCTCCCGGTTCCACAAAATAAGCAGCCTGAAGCTTGATCCCCCTCCCCCCCCCCCCCACTAAAGACAAGTGTACGGAACAAATAAAAAGCGCACGCAAACCCTTATCGCAGTTGTGGTCTGCGCGCGTTTGTCTGTCCGGCGGTCCTTCCAGGCTTGAGTCGACGAATGGACACGGCCAGGGTCTCTCCGATAAACCCGGAGCCACACGAAGTCCAAAAGCGCTCCTCGGTGGACGATCAAAATGTAGTCGCTGTGAATGAGCGCATGGAGGCGTCGGGAGGTAAGAGGCGTGAAGTGGCCGTCCATTCAACCGACACGCACACGCCTGTAATCCAGCACGTCGTCATCATGGAATAGGTTTCACTGTGTGTATGGGGGTGGCTAGTGTTAAAAGCCATTTAAACTAGTTTTTTTTTATTTTACCAGGTAAAGCCCACTGAGATAGATATATAGCTCTTTTTCAGAAGTGACCCAGCCACAAATGATAGCCCAATGAAGTGGCTTATCATGTGGATATGTATAGAAGTCAAATACTCTAAACGCGAGCTTATAAAAAGTGGAGGGAAAAACCGGAGGCCCCGGAGAAAATTCCACGCAACCACGGGGAGAGAGACACAAAAACTCCAAATATACAGTGAGGGAAAAAAAGTACTTGATCCCCTGCTGATTTTGTACGTTTGCCCACTGACAAAGAAATGATCAGTCTATACTTCTAATGGTAGGTTTATTTGAACAGTGAGAGACAGAATAACAACAAAAAAATCCAGAAAACGCATGTCAAAAATGTTATAAATTTATTTGCATTTTAATGAGGGAAATAAGTATTTGACCCCCTCTCAATCAGAAAGATTTTTGGCTCCTAAGTGTCTTTTTTACAGGTAACGAGCTGAGATTAGGAGCACACTCTTAAAGGGAGTGCTCCTAAGCTCAGCTTGTTACCTGCATAAAAGGCACCTGTCCACAGAAGCAATCAATCAATCTGATTCCAAACTCTCCACCATGGCCAAGACCAAAGAGCTCTCCAAGGATGTCAGGGACAAGATTGTAGACCTACACAAGGCTGGAATGGGCTACAAGACCATTGACAAGCATTTTGGTGAGAAGGTGACAACAGTTGGTGCGATTATTCGCAAATTGAAGAAACACGAAAGAACTGTCAATCTCCCTCGGCCTGGGGCTCCATGCAAGATCTCACCTCGTGGAGTTGCAATGATCATGAGAACGGTGAGGAATCAGCCCAGAACTACACGGGAGGATCTTGTCAATGATCTCAAGGCAGCTGGGACCATAGTCACCAAGAAAACAATTAGTAACACACTACGCCGTGAAGGACTGAAATCCTGCAGCGACCGCAAGGTCCCCCTGCTCAAGAAAGCACATATACATGCCCGTCTGAAGTTTGCCAATGGACATCTGAATTATTCAGAGGACAACTGGGTGAAAGTGTTGTGGTCAGATGAGACCAAAATGGAGCTCTTTGGCATCAACTCAACTCGCCGTGTTTGGGGGAGGAGGAATGCTGCCTATGACCCCAAGAACACCATCCCCACCGTCAAACATGAAGGTGGAAACATTATGCTTTGGGGGTGTTTTTCTGCTAAGGGGACAGGACAACTTCACCGCATCAAAGGCACAATGGACGGGGCCATGTACCGTCAAATCTTGGGTGAGAACCTCCTTCCCTCAGCCAGGGCATTGAAAATGGGTCGTGGATGGGTATTCCAGCATGACAATGACCCAAAACACACGGCCAAGGCAACAAAGGAGTGGCTTAAGAAGAAGCACATTAAGGTCCTGGAGTGGCCTAGCCAGTCTCCAGACCTTAATCCCATAGAAAATCTGTGGAGGGAGCTGAAGGTTCGAGTTGCCAAACATCAGCCTCGAAACCTTAATGACTTGGAGAAGATCTGCAAATAGGAGTGGGACAAAATCCCTCCAGAGATGTGTGCAAACCTGGTGGCCAACTACAAGAAACGTCTGACCTCTGTGATTGCCAACAAGGGTTTTGCCACCAAGTACTAAGTCATGTTTTGCAGAGGGGTCAAATACTTATTTCCCTCATTAAAATGCAAATCAATTCATAATGTTTTTGACATGCGTTTTTCTGGATTTTGTTGATGTTATTCTGTCTCTCACTGTTCAAATAAATCTACCATTAAAAGTATAGACTGATCATTTCTTTGTCAGTGGGCAAACGTACAAAATCAGCAGGGGATCAAATACTTTTTTCCCTCACTGTACAGCAGGTGTCATGTTCGGGATCGAACCCACGGCCTCCTCGTATACCAGGCGAGGTGGTTAGAATGTCGCCACCGCAGCGCAGTACAGCAAGTAGGTTGTTTGGTCTGACTATTGAGGGGTTTTAGTGCTATCTCACAGCACGTGGATTTTATGCCGAGATGTCCTGGGTTCGCACTCCATGTAAAATACAGTACTGCTTAAAGCTGTAAGGTGTTAAGCACGATGCAGGACCCTTGAGACTCGTTCTCAGCCAACATATTGTACAAGCTCGCTATTGCTGCACTTTCCAGCCAGCATTTATCGCAGCAGTGCAATGAATGCTAGCTTAAGCTTTCATATACAAGTGCGTATAAGTATCCACATAAATAGACAATTCGCCTCTCTCCACAAAGCCTTCAAGAAGTGTTTTTTTTTTCAGCACCATTGGTTTAGAACAAGCACACTCTGGACCGGTTTCAGCAGAGTTAGGCTTGCTTAAATCAATGCTGGTGAAAAGCCAGATATGTTTATAGGCAAGACCCTTTCTCTGTTAGATATGGGTCCAAGTTGCTTAAGTGTCAGTCGGTCTCAGTTATTACTTAACCATAACAACCTACATTTCATTTAAAGCTTTCCTGACTGCAGGGATTCATATTCTTGGTTCTTTCGGTAAAGTCACCTGGTATCGACAATCAAGGGTATTTCCCTGTCCCCAGACGACCTGCTTGTCAGTTTTGATGTAGTTTCCTTATTCGCCAAAGTTACTGTACCTGACACCATCGCAATCATTGAAGACTTGGTTCATCAAGGACTAAACACTGAGGTACCCCCCTGGTGAGACACTGCTTAACCAATACATACTTCACTTGGAATGGAACTTTCTACAAACAAACTGAGGGCACCCCAATGGGCTCCCCCCTATCTCCGGTTGTAGCCAACATTTTCATGGAGAAATTTGAGACTGACGTCATCCAGACTGCCACTCTGCGCCCAACCTTATGGAAGAGGTACGTGGATGACACTTTTGTCATCTGGCCACATGGCCGGTCTGCTCTAGACCAATTCCTCGACCACATCAATTCCATACACCCAGCCATCAGATTTACCATGGAAGTCGAAAAAGATGGCAAGCTACCTTTTTTGGATGTCCTAATAAAAAAGAGACCTAATGGTTCAATGAGCCACTCTGTCTACAGGAAAGCTACCCATATGGATGCTTACTTGAAACCGGATTACCACCCCCTTTCATCCCAGAAGAATTCCCTCGTAAAGACTCTGCACCATAGAGCCCAATGCATATCCGACCAGGAACACATAGCCAGTGAACTCAAGCACGTACACCAAGCTCTTAAGGCTAATGGTTACTCCGACTACACAATCCGCAAAGCTATCACTCCATCCATGAAGAAGGACCCTCTTGAGGAGCCTTTCAAAACCATCACTTTACCCTACATTGCGGGGATCACAAAAAGATCTCCAAAATCTTGAATAAACACAAGATCCAGGTCCGATTCAACACATTACATAAAATCCGTGATCTGGTTCCGTCTGTAAAAGATGTGATTTCGGACATACAGTACCGTGGCGTCTACAAACTAAGTTGCCTCTGTGGTAGTAGTTACATTGGAGAAACCAAACGACATGTCTCGGACCGCATTCATGAACACAAAGCAGACCTAAAACACGGTAGGACCAACACCTCGGCCGTGGCAGATCACTGTTATAATTCAGTAGGCTCACATGACATTGACTTCTCCAAGACAGAGGTTATTTGCAAGCCATCTGGCTACCATGAGAATTTCGTTCATGAGGCTATCCACATATACAAACACAGAGACAATTTCAACCGAGAAGATGGATTCTGGCTTAGCAATCATTGGAATGATTTGATAAACCATTTCGGGTCTTAATTGATTGTTCACGCTTACGGTGGCTTTCAGACCGCATCCATTATTTTCGTCTCCCCCCTCCTCTTTTACGAACATAGATGGACTCGTCCATCTGAATAACTTCCAAATCGCTCTCCGTGGTGCTAACGTTAAAAAAACCCGCCACTTTTGTCAAATTTTCTTGCTGTGGTTTTCACACCTGATGATGATTGCTTGTGTTGCAGTCGAAACGTCGTGAGAATTGTATTGTTATTTATTTTTATTATTTGATTGTTTCCCTTCTACGTGACTTTTCCGAAAGAACCAAGAACATAACAACCTACTTACTCCTCCAATTCATAAATACTGCAGCTAAGTGGGTCTGAAACACTGTTCGTTGTGAAACTCTCCTTCATGTTTACAATTTATAAAAGTAATGATTTATTGAGCCATGAGAGTCTCACCACGTCTTAAGACCTTTTTGGTCAGGAGCGTACTGCTATATCGGGATGTTTCGCTGATTTAATTAATACTCTTTGGTTCTTTCGGCAAAGCCACGTTGCCGCAACACAAGCGTCATTCGTCAGGTGTGAGGCTTTCCCACCTGACGATGGACGCTTGTGTTGCGCCCGAAACGTCGTGACTGATTTTATTTTCTACCCACGTGACTTTACCGAAAGAACCAAAGAGTGTGGATTCCTGCAGTCACGAAAGCTTCAAATCAGGACTTAATTAACTTTTGACGTATGGGAGGAAACCAGCGATATGTGTGAAAAATGCCACGCATGCGAGGAGGATAACACTCCAAGCTGTACACACACGCAGAGAAATTCAAGAAATCCGTTTTGATGCCTCTAAAAACCCTCCTGGTCACCTCACAGCTTTTTCAGTGGCTTCAGGAGTTTCGAAAATACGTTCGAGCCACCAACCCCTCGCCTCCAGAGTGTTCGATTGCAGGTGTGTGCGACCACACCCGCTCCTCCTCCTCCTCGATGAGTGTTCTTCAGACGAGACCTCTCGGGCCACGTGAAGTGTTCATACGCCCAGTTTGCACAGAGTTCTGCCGTGCTACTACTGAACCGCAAACACTTTGCTTGTATCAGCAAGTCATTGCACTCGGTCGCCGAGTGCAATTGCGGCTCGTGGCTGCCAGTTGGAGGGTGCTACAGACTCTGACCTGGCTGCTCCAGTCTGAGGCAGGGTTGTCACCCACAGTGTAATTGGTTTGGACTGCACACATTGCAGATGGGTCTCCTCCACGATTTTACTCTTTAGATAGCTTCATTGCGACGAGGATGTTGCTCTAAAAAAAAAACTACAACCACGTGGCCCAACCCAAGCACACACATGGACGATTGGTTTGGCTATGAAAACCTCCATGTTAATTTAAATGAACACCGTTTAGTTTGCACAGGATATCGGGGGGGGGGGGGGGCGAATTCCATAACACCATACAAGTCAACAGGGCTGCTATGTGTTAGCCGCTCTTTCTAGGTTTACCTACTGGAGCTAATGTGTTCAGATTAAGATTCACGTTTCATCGGGCGGTTGCAAGTGGCTCGCTGCAGCAAACACGAGTGGCAGCGATGATGCTCCGACGAACGTCGCGCTCCGGTAGGCTCGAAGGTGCTGGAGACGCTCCCTCGGCTGAAGCGTTCCGTGAAGGGGCACGGAATAACCTGTCCGATCGAGGGCCTCGCAAACGCTGCCGCTCCCTCGATGGAGGGCGGTTTGTAACGTTGGTTTTTGTGGCACGTGACCAAAAAATTTTGCCCGCGTGTGCGTGTGTCTGTTTTACATATGCTATAGTGCAGTGGTTTGCAATATTTTGTTTGTTATGCACGCTTCATCCAGAACTATCAATTGTCTGCACGTAATCTTTATATTTATTACAAATACATACGCATGTTTTTATTAGATTCACATGTAACTAACACCCAAGATATTTAGTTTATGCTTAATAACAATCAACTAAATACTTACAATGTAATATTTACCCGTTAATAAGACTTAACAACAATCACTGCTCTATAATTTACACTGCTAATGTTACCTGGCTGTGAATCTGATCGAGCTGACACAACTAATTTGCATTGAATGGAATAGATCATTCGAGCCTCATGAACGCTAAAAAAAACGCTTTAAACACGAGTTATGAGTAAGCTCCTCTGCAAGCAGCCGGCTAACGGATTTCAATTCCAATTTTAAATTACTGCAAAAAGATTCAATTAAATTCTGGTTCATAGCAGCCACATTGGGGGGGGGGGGGGGGGGGGGGGTGTGGAAATGCTTGCGTTGGAAATTGTCCGTCGGTGGTCGCGTTGTGAACGCGCGTCGCTGTGAATGCACGTCGCTGTGAATGCACGTCGTTGTGAATGCGCGTCGCTGTGAATGCACGTCGCTGTGAACGCACGTCGTTGTGAATGCGCGTCGCTGTGAATGCGCGTCGCTGTGAATGCACGTCGTTGTGAATACACATCGCCTGTAAATGTTCCCCGTTTCATCGCCGATCCGATCCCAGACTCGCAGAGGGAAGATGGCTATGGTGCCTGTGGAATCCTGCTGCTCATCTTTTCAGCAATAATGCTGGTCGTCACCTTCCCCATCTCTGTTTGGCTCTGCATCAAGGTGGGTGTATTGTTTTGTGGGTCACGCAGTCCGAGGTTGCTAATGCTCTACGTAAATGTGCATGGTACACAGTGGGTAAGGCGATATTACGGTCGTGTTCCCGATGTTCATATTCATACAAAGAAAAGTTAAACATGTATGTATGTTGAACTTCTTTCACACCGTTAGAAGTCAACCGTGCGAATCGAACAGCGTGCATAGATATGACATTTCGCATGCTACCAATATTTTTTGTTTATTGAGAATTTATATTAAAAAATGTTACACGGTAGCGCAGTGGTAATGTTCGTGGCTCACAGCAATAAGCGCCCGGGGTTGGATTCCCGACTGGGTGCCTCTGTGGAGTTTGCACGTTCTCCCCCCTGTTGTGCATGGGGCTTCCTCCGAGTTCTTTGGTTTCCTCTCTAAGGAAAACAAGAAAAACGATGTAATTGTTATCAGCCAAAAACATCTCAATGCTGAAAAATTACCCTGACAATTGCTCAATTGAGATTACACGCAGACGCAACTTGACAGAACCCTCCTCAAAAAAGAGTCCAGAGACACGTTGAGGCTTTCCTGGCTAAACAAGCATATACATAATAATAATACTACGGGCGGTATCCGGTTTCTGACGGTCCGATTTATGAGGCTCTACATTTACGACGTTTATGTAATGCCACCATGGTTCGATTAACGACACTTGATTCACGACGCATCTTCCGACATGACCCCGAACACATTCGCACAGTCTGGTTTTACGATGTGACTTTGGCGTGGTGTTTTTTGCTTTCCTCAACATTTTATGTGGCTTTTTTTGTACCTTTTAAACCCTGTTAAATATAGATTTTAAAAGTAAAAACACACCGTCAAAGTAATGTTTACACTGTTTTGTTTCCACTGTCTATGGGAGAATATGGTCCCGATTTTACGTGATGTATCGTAGCTGCGGGAACCCCTTGTAATTGCAAACCAAATACATCTTGAGAGCAAATGTAAGAGAGAAGGCTGGCATTCAGTGTGGTTGGGGGAATTAGCTCATAGCAATCAATGTAAGTTAACGTGAAACAACAATTAGTGCGAACCTATACGATAATTCAGAGGTAACATTTAAACCAAACACAAACCTCAATTCAATGATACAGTTACGGACACGTGTTTGCCCTACGAATTGTAATTCTATCCCGCAACCAACTGGCCCGAAGCTGCGTGTTCACGCAGATGTACAGAGAGCAAATCGAAAGGTTATTTTCATAGCATCGCTTGCATTCACAACTGCTCACAAAAGGCGACGCAATTGTAGCTAAGCACAACGCCACAGGATTTTTTTTTATCAGTCAATATATTTTTCACTTCAACGGCACTGCTTTAAGGGTTTCGGATTTCAAGCTGACTGGAGCAAAAGTCCAGTTGGTTTAGGTCTCTCAATGGAAACCAAAGATGGGGTCGAGCAGTGGCCCTTTAACTGTGATCATCTGACCCTGGGCATCAATTATGGCTTTATTTTTTGGCGATTTGGAAAACGTTTTTTGGTTTGGACATGTTTGTTTTTTTGTAGTACGGAGTTAGACTGATGGCCTTAATCTAAGTTTTCTTGTGGTTGTTGTTGTTGTTTGACTTGCATCCCACTGGGATTTTTTGCACACAGCGTTGGTGTACGGTGCTTTTTTCAGGAATATTTTGCTGGTTTTTTTTCATGGATTTTCTGTTTGCACAGTCACATAGTCACTTCAAGATGTTTTCTTGTTCGTGTTTTTGTTTTTTTGTTTGTTGTGGTTGCACCCGATTCAAGAGCCGAATGGCTCACAGGGCTATACCAAAATAAACTGAAACTGAACTGAACTGAACACTTAGTGTGGCTCAGAGCGCATTCTCAGCGTTTAAATGGTGATGCTTCCCCCCTGCAAACTGGTGTTAAAAATCAGTAGATGTAGGTGTCTTGGTGGCGCAGGGTCTAACGATCTGTCAGACGACCGAGTCTCCACCGCTTGAGACCCTCGGTTGCAATTCTATTCAGCCACTCGTGATCACATTGGTTTCTCAAATCTAAGGAGTTTCATGGCCGGAGTCCAATCGCACAGTACTGAAAAAAATGATGTGTAAGCATTTTTCACACCTCCTATTATCACGGTTGGCTACGTACGGTACGAAAGAAGTTCAACATACATACGTACATGCAATTTAATCAATTACATTACAGAACACGCTGGGGAACCCTGCACTGTAACCTTGGCCCTGCTTGAAAAATGGCCTTGTACATGCTAGTTTGTCTTTTATCTTATTCCCCACCCAGCTCAAAATGTATTCCATTGGTAGATTGTCATGTTATGTGATTACAAAATCTATTTGTAGATATTACAGAGCAGCACACTGCCAGGAAAGAGATTTCTCGCAGGACTCTCCCCCCCGCACAAAAAAGTCTTCAAGTGGCCTATTTTTACCATCACACAGGAGGGGACACACACTTTCCTATTTTATCACCTATGATAACAACAATAACCCCCCCACCCCCACGCTCAACAAATTCGGCAATAACACTACTTTAAAAAAGGAAACATTCTGTTCATAGTGAACGTTTCGGTCCATGGCTCTTCTTCACAGCACATTTAAGGGCCTGGATGAGACTATCGCCGGGTTTTACGTGCCACAGGGCTTAACATCTCGGCCCTGATTTTGTGTCTGCAGGTCGTGCAGGAATACGAGCGTGCAGTGATTTTCAGACTCGGGCGAATCGCGAAGGGAGGAGCCAAGGGCCCAGGTAATGTAACTTACGTCACTGTGAGATAGCCGCGTTGTGGTCACATGACGGGCCGATTTCTGTTCATCTTTAGAAGAATCACGTCATTCAATGCCAAGGTCATTGACCACCTTTCACGATGATACGTTTGGCCATCTTTGATGATGATGCTCTGTTTGTTTGTTAATTTATTTTGAAATTGCGATCATTTTTAACTGGCCATCATCATCATCATCATCAACTGGTGCTGCTGCTTATTGGAATTACATTTAAATTTGAGCCACTAATTAGTTGACCTTAAAACAATTAGCGTTTTATCTGCCACTTTCAATCAATTGAGTTTTAAGTTCAGATAAAAAAATCATACTTATAAAACAGATAAAATACGTCATTAAATTATACGCACGTCCACCAAAACACAACCACGTGAAGGAATAATTTATATTGTTATAAAGTTTTGGGCTAATTAAGTTTCAGGGTTGTACAGCTAAGGGCCATTGAATGCTTATGAATATATGTATGCCTCTGATGTTAAAGTTTAGCGAATCGTACAACGGAAGCTGCTTCATATATCTCGTGTATAAATACTCAATAATTGGCTGAAGACGTCTTAGTCTATGGGCCTCCGTGCGTTGCGAATTGTGTGATGCAGTCACACAAATGATGCTGCTGCATTAAAAAAAAAACCTCATTATCGTCGTAGCATATTAAAACGTGTACGTAGTCGTGCTGTTCTCAACCTTTGCTCGGTGGCGGTAGCCTAGCGGCGCACCAATGTTCGCATCGACATTCATCGCAATTATGTATACGTGTAAGTTTGTTTTATCAAGAAAATACGCAAATACGCGAGGACACATACAGTCACGTGCACTGCAAATAACCCTGTAAAATGAGAAAATTAGTTGGAAGTTCGCTAAACATTTTCTCGAGTCATGTTTGTTCCTCCATCATAGCCTAAAAATACTTGAATACACACAACGATGGTCAACACTGATGTGTTGTCTTTCATCAATTAGGGGTAATCGCTTCGTTAGAAGTCTTTCATTTAATCGGTTTCGACGAGTGTAGAAGGGTGACCGTGTGCATGGCCAGGATCAGCATTTTAGTGGCTTTTCCCTACACACCAGACTGCATGCATTAAAATTGGGCCCCTGGCAACATGCCATTAAAGCAGTCACTGGGTTTCAAGTAGTGAAGTGCTTTGAAGTGTTAATATCCGTAGAACGGTATTTATAAAACGGCGTTGTGTCTCTTGAAATGGGGTGGAGCGGTGGCGCAGTGACTCACATTGAGGGCTGTGATCCTGGTGACTTGAGTTTAAATCCTGACCATGGGTAACATTTGTGGTGGGTGGTGTCTGAACTGGTCATGCCCGCCTCCCTTCACCAGCTGGTACTGAGTAGCAGGGTAAAGTTTGGTCAAACTACCCCCGTGGCCAAAAGGCAAGAGGAGGACTTTACCCATCGGTGTTGTTTTACTGTGAGCAGTGTTACTGGGTTTCCAGTTGACATATTTGTTCAAATAAGTAACAAACGAAATTGTTTGGGAAATTGGAGAGGTTGGCTATAAATGTATGCAGTACACACCAACAAATATACTTTACTCCTGAATAGGTTAAAAGTACGTACAGTCATTTATGTTTTGTTGTACAAATGCATTGAGGATGCATTCAATAAATTTTAAGGATGAAAAAGGAACATGTGATGGATTATGTCCAATTTCAGTCAGCAATAATATTCATAATAAAGTAATAATATTGCAGAATAATGTTTAAATCACAGCACGTGACACCAGTAGTGGCGGGTAATAACTCAGAACGAATTCAATTGTGGAAAACATTGAGTTCGACATTCAAGTACATTTTGATTCGAATAAGCCGAGTTTTGCTGCGAATTAATGCACATTTGTATAGCAAGCAAGCAGCATGAATGCACATGTGTACGTCGGCCAGTCTGGGTCTGTACAAACAAGCACGGTGAGGTGCACGCTCGGTATTGGCATGGACGGCAACGTTCAGTGTGAAAGAAGTTCAACATACATATGTACATTATTCCTGATAGAGAAAACACACGCTAATTAACTGATTACTCATCTATTAATAATAATTACTATGCTCACCCCCTCCTCCGCTTCTGAGCTCTGCACCTGATGGGTTCACAGTGACGGCGTCGTCCCGCTGCTCCCTTTAAGACCTGCAGCAGGTGGATTGCTTTCACTATTCTGGCAAATCGCCCGATGATGCTGGCTGATGCGATTGACAGCGAAACGTCGTACTACTCAAACTGTAAAAGTTGTGGATTTACTCTCCAACACACCGGCGGGCTGAAGTAGTAAACTAATTGGCGTGTTGTTTACGTGACAAATCTTGCTGGCTGTGTCGGGTGGTGGAGGGTTACGGCACATTTATACTGACGCGATCTATCCCAGAAACATGCACTATGAGTACATACATTCAGTGAGATATAGAAAAAATAGACCATATGGATCAGCTTTTTGCTGTATAAGGCACGTTACAAATCTTGCATCGATTGATTAATTGAAAACTTTTGATTTAAAGCTTTCGTGACTGCAGTAATTCATATTCTTAGTTTTTTCGGTAAAGTCACGTTGAAGAGAAACAACAAAATAACAAAATATATATAAAAATAAACATGCCGTTTTCAAAATAAATTTATGCAAACCGACACACCTGATGATGACCGTTTGAGTTATGGTCGAAACGTCGTGAGAATTTTTTATTGTTTTATATATATTTTGTTATTTTGTTGTTTCTCTTCAACGTGACTTTACCGAAAAAACTAAGAATATAATTGAAAACTGTTCAGTAAAGTAAATAGGCTTGAGCAGGACACTTCCCTATAAGGCAGTGGTGGCCCACTGGCGTCTCCCAAGCCGCATGCGGCTCTTTAATCCACTACACGTGCCTCTATCGAAGGGGCACAACGCAGAACATCCTGTCACAGTAGCAAAGAATAATGAACGTTTCCCATGCTGTGCCAAAAAACTGTCAATTATACACACACTGGGCTCTTCGCAGAACTCATGGGTATTTTTAGGCTCTTGGTCTGTTAGGGATTGGTCACCCCTGCTGTGAGGGATAATGACCGATGGTCAAGACATAGTGGCGGAGCGGCGGCCAAAGCATGGACCGCAGAGCAGGTGGAGCGATGGAAGTCAGCTTGCTCGGCGGATTGTCACGCCGTAGAACCAGGAGAGATGGTGAAGGCTTCGGGAGGCCTTCATCCAGCAGTGGATTGATTATGGCTGCTATTGATGATGATGATAGATGAAGCCGAGTTATTTATCCTTCTTCACCACGGTTACTGAGTAAAAACCCGCTAATGAAAACGCCCCCGTTGTTTCCTCAACTGCTACCACTCTCTCGCTTAAAAAAAAAAAACCCACACATTTGAAAATAAATCACAAGGTAATCATATTTTTTGAGCAGGTTGGCACTGCTGTCAATAACGCACATTTTACAACCCAGCGTATACACGTGGCTTGGCGGCACTGATTACAATCTTGTTAAATTGGTCCATCCAAGAGCCATTGTGCTCCGTGGTGTATAAAGGGGAAAGGTCATTCCCAAGTGACCTATCTCCGGGCTGCTGATTGAGTTGATTGCCGGGCGGTTTTTCATATTTTTTTGACATCAGTAATTTTCACACTTGATTGGTGCCACATTGCAGCGAGCGTCGCTTTGTTTGTGCTCACGGACAAAAAAAAATCGCTGCCTGTGTTAAAACACAAAAAAAGCCTCTCTTGATATTACCGTCGTCAGTTTTTTTCACGCGAAATAATCTCAGTTTTAATTAAGCATATGATGGGGTTTGCGTCATGTAATGCTGTAAGTGTGCATGTGTAGTGATGCTACCATCACTACACCTGCACAGTCCTTATGGCAATCCATCGTGGGGGTTGTTTGACCATACTTCACCTCGCTTCTGAAATCTGACAATATTGGGAACATTCTGGGTTGGTTTTCTAAATCAGTCCAGCAACGCTGAACAGACATATTTCGCATTCTATGTTTTATTGCCCCTGCAACATTTTACGGGATGCATGTCCTGGCTGGCTGGTCCTCTTATAGGCACGTCGGGGTTGTGGCGGTGGCTGTACCGTGTATAAATTCGAAGTGGCATAGGGTTGACAAGACACCCACCTCGCTCACCTGGTCGTGAACCCCTTCCGCACCCGCCTGCCTTGAGGTTTTCTTCATCCGCACCGAACAACGGCGCGCATCAGAACCTAAGACACCGGCCCCACGCATCAGTGCCGGATTCTCATAGTAGCAAAAGTAGCTACATAAGTAGTAGCTACGGGCCCCGCACTTTCAAGGGCCCCGCGCTAAATGCTTTCAAGCTATCAATTCATGTTCAGTGATTCTGCACTTGCTCTATTACTATAGTACTACACTGCCTTCGACTTTTATGAACGACTGGGTGCTTAAGGTTAGCGATTTGTCGTAACATTTGGCTGCATAGCAAATAAAAAAATACAATTACACCATTGGAACCTCCTTTACTCGTAGAAAAATATGATAATTGGTTTTTTACCCTTTAATTTGGCAACAAAACTGACATCTTTTTTACCAGGATTCATGTTTGCATTGACCACAATACCTGCGTCGGAATGCAAAAAAAAACATAACACTGATAATGTATTGGCACTGTCCTTGAAATTGATTGGTCCACACCCGAGACAGCTTTCCTTAGAGCCCAGTCTCACATGGTGTTGGACCAGATGACGCCAAAAGGCGCCTTTTGGCGTCATCTGGTTCGTAGGTAATGTGGTCAATGCAAACATGACTCCTTGAAAAAAAGGTGTCAGTTTTGTTGCCAGATAAAAGGGTAAAATAAAACAGTGATAAAAATGCAATAACTTTACTTGCAAGTAAAAAAATTCATGTTTTCATATTTATGTGTTTTTAAAAGGAAAAATTAAGGCCCCTTTATAGCATATGCAACAGGCTCCGCACTAGGTTAATCTGCGAGTGACACGGTGCGCTCCTTAAACCCGGCGGCTGTGGGTCATCGTGCGACATCCTCATGACAGGCGTACCTATGCGTTCGTCACACATTGCACGCCGCATGCGGAGACCAACGCCGCCAATTATGTAATTGAATACTGTACCGCGATGATTAATGGCGTCGCTCGTTTTTATAATGTAAGTGCCTGTTTGCGATGGGCCCCATTTTGGCAGCTCGACAACGAAGCCAACATTCTCTCCTGGGTTTGAAAGGAACCAATTGGCTACTTAGTACCCTGCTAAATATTATCTCTGTCCAAGGACACTTAATATGAACAAAGCCCGTCCCTTGGTGTGGACCAATCAGCTTCAAGGACAATGCATATATTATCATAGTGTGTTTTTTGTTTGCATTTTGACTGCAGGTATTGTGGTTAATGCAGTAACATGAATCCTTATAAAAAAAAGGTTTCAGTTTTGTTGCCAGAAAAAAGGGGAAAAACCCTATTATTACATTTTGGTACTGGCAAAGGAGGTCTAATGATGACACTTAACTTGTTTGCTTTCAGTGAAAAAAATATAACCCCCCTCCCAAACCCACCCCCCCCCCCCCCACATTAAAAAAATAAAACACCCACCACACAGCTGACGAGCAATATTAATTCTCAGATCTGTATAAATATGTATTTTGTGTGTGGGGTGGTGGTGAGGGAGGGGGGACGAAATGCGGTAATTTCAGAAAGAGGTTTCTGTATAAGGAAACAAAGCATCAAGCTGTGATTAATTATTATTGGCGTGACTATTACATGATTATTTGTGACGAACGAGCGAATACGCGCAGTGCCCTAACGCGCCAGAGAGGGCAATATCGCTCCAGATAAGCTACGTACCGGGCACGAGTGCATGCAAAAACACATTCTCCTGCGGAGGGAGCTGGTAGGAACGTTGGTTGCTCGGTCAATGGCCAGGGTCAACGGCGGCACCACGTGGTGTATTCCGCAAATATGCCCGACTGTGAGGGCGGGCACAAGCCGGCGTGAGTAGGTTAAACGTTGAGTTTTATAAGGGCACCACGGGGTGACCAGCCCCTCCCCACCCAGCCCCAATCCTCCCCACCCAGCCCCTCCCCTCCCCACCCAGCCCCTCCCCACCCAGCCCCACCCCACCCAGCCCCTCCCCTCCCTTTTTCAGAAGCGACCTGGCCACATGTGGCCCGGTCGCTTCTGAAAAAGAGCTGTCTAGCGTCAGTGGGCCTTACCTGGTAACGTAAAAAAATATTTAGTTTAGTGTACAAGGGATTCTACAAGATGTCAATTTCGTTTTTTTTTGGGGGGGGGGGGGGGATTATGTAACATCAATTAGTCCACTAGCCCACCAGTTCACATATTTCACTTTGTCGCTACCATCGGATTTGGCATAACTTGAGTGGTTCCAATTTTTTTGTGTGGCCATTACATTCATTATGGGTTTTCAAGTAATTCACTAATATTCACCATTTAAATAAATATGCCCCACTAAAGTTGCTGCTACCTTAGGAGGTACTGATTCTCTGCTCTGATCCATGGACTAAACCTTTCATTTCATGCATCGCACGCAGATGGTTAATGTCCGTGTCTGTTGCAGGTATTTTTTTGGTCATACCATGCACGGACAACTTCATACGTGTGGACCTGAGGACCATCTCCTTCCAGATTCCGCCCCAAGAGGTTCGTGGTGCAATTGGAAATATTTAGAAAATCTATGCCGGGGAGAGGCCTGTTGGTCATTCCATCTTTTGGTTATGTTTCCTGCACTTTTCACACCAACCCCCATTATACATCATTCCCACATCCCTTCCGTGTCTTACTGAAGCACAACATCTAAAACAACGTCCCCCTTTCGTCTGACCTCTCTGCAGATCCTGACTCGCGACTCGGTGACAATCCAGGTGGATGCCGTGGTTTACTACCGTAAGGTCAACCCCACCATGTCGGTGGCCAACATTGAGAACGCGAATGACTCCACGCGTTTGCTGGCCATGACCACCCTGCGCAATGTCCTGGGCACCAAGAACCTGTCGGAGATCCTCACCGACCGCGAGGAGATGGCTGACCGCATGGAGGTACAAATCCTCTAGTCCAGGGTTGCGGAAGCTACGATCCGGCAGCCGCATCCGACCTGTGACCTCGTTTCATACTCGAGGCCTACCACTTTGAAACGGCACCAAAAGCAATGTCCAATCAATGCAAGCATTTATATGTCACTATGCAGGTACTAGCGGGGTATATTTTAGAGCTGGCAACACTGTGTTTTTAATTGTATCGTGCTGACTCATTGCAAGGGCCTCACTCACACATGTGTCTGAGGTCAGTGTGTTGACGTGTGGTTGCCCGCTAAAAGGTATTTGAAAGTCCTAATTGGCTGCGAGCAAGGCAACGGTTCTCCAACACAGATCCACACAAGTCATATGCCAAGGCATAATATGCTCTCACGAACAACACTTCAATACTTTTTTTTTTAAATATACAATGCACGTGGCATCTAAACATCTCAAGCGTCTCAAGATGCCGCGCGCGGCAAGCGCGTGGGCACAGACGGTGCATTCGAGACACAGCCCATGAAACAAAATCGCGGGCTGGGCGGATTGAGCAGCGGCAGGAGCGCGACACCGCCCGTGCGGGAAGCCGTCTCAACCACGGCGCAGACGGACACGGGTACCGTGACGTGTAACGATTAACGTAACGGCGTCTGTAATTTGCGCGACCCAGCGGAGGAGATGGAGAAGCATGCTGATTAGCAATGGAGACGAAAGGGCAGAGAGGGGCGGGATTCATTAGACGATGGTGAGTTGTTGTTTTTTTAGAATGCACCACATTGCTCATATGGTGCTTTTAACGAGCCGTCTATGTGCGCATGTGTGAGCTTTGTGAGACGTGGCGCTGTGGTGGTTATCACGCTGCGCTATGAGTTGAATTCCTGGGCAAAGCTAAGATTGGTTGGTGGTGAGTGATATCAGAATCTGGTCTTCAATGAATACCTGGCATGATGTGTAAAGCACCATCAATAAGTAGACAAAGCATTCAGGCGTGATGCTGATTACACCCCCTCCTCCACGTGCACCATTCACCTCTTCGTAGGAACTCATTAACAGCACTTGTCCCATGAGTTTCTAGGCTATATGGCGGAATTTTGTCTTGGTGTGTGTGTGTGCGCGTGGATATGCGTGTGTCCATTTGTCGACTCAGCCTCAAATGAGTAACTGGTGTGTTATTTAAACATCACCACTGGGGAGACAAAGGCGGTCGGGCGTGGTGTTGGCCACCCACCCCCTTTGTGTGCCGTTCCGGCCTTCATAGGTTGCTACTCGCGAAGGGCGGGCACTTTTCTCCGACAGCGTGTCATGTCTACACGGCGGATCTTTGTCTTTGTGTCGTTGCTCAGGCCATCCTGTTGGATGCCACCAAGCTTTGGGGCATCCGCGTGGAGCGCGTGGAGATGAAAGACGTGAAGCTGCCCCTTGACCTGCAGAGGGCCATGGCTGCTGAGGCGGAAGCAACGAGAGAAGCTCGTGCCAAGGTGCGGCGCAGAGGGTCACGTGGGGGGCACCCGCACACGCTCACGTATAAGGGGCACTTCTTTTTGTGTTCTCCTTCTTATCGTACGGACGACGTAGATGCAGAGCAACAGCGACAACCTCACATGCAGGTGGTCTAGCCCAGGTGACCGCGCGTCAGGAGCGGCGATGTGGTGCGTCGCCGCCGCCATGTCTCCTTCGTACGTGCGGATCGGGCATTACGTCGTTACGCTCTGTACTTTCTCTGTTCTGGATGACCACAGTCACACGCCGCCGGAGAGTTTTTAATGCCCCATTAAGTGCATCGTGAGGTATCGGCGTCCGCTGCCGTGGGTTGTGCAGTGGATGCGGTTCAGGGTGGCCCGTGAGCAGCTTCGTGGAAGGTGAAACCCCAGGGGATCTTCTGCCGTTGGGTCTTCCACAGCGTTGGCAGTGTTTGTTCGTGAGTTCTTTTGAACTCCACTCAGCTCTCCATGCTTCATCGGGGTCGAACTTGCATTGCTGAGGTTAAGCGCATTGACCACTGCCACTGTGTTACACATAATAGCCCGAGAATGATTGAACCAAAACACACACATATGCACGCAATCTCACACGTGTACAACTTCTCAAACAACCACGATTGCTCAACCGCACATAGATCCACATGAACATACAACAATGTACACACATATGTATGTTGAACTTCGCAGAATACATAGCCAGCCACACGTAGCCAGCCACACGTATGATCACACATGCATATGCATACCTGTCAACCCATACGGTTTACCCCGTATTCTTCTACAGGGATATTGAGTTTTTAGATCCATACGGGGTACAGCCGTTTCAATACGGACAATTTTTTTTTACATAATTGTGTCTATTTGTGTTTCTCCCTTGTGATGGGACTTTGTAGGATGAACGTTGAGATTTATAAGGGGCACCTGGGTGACCAATAAGGTCTGAATTGGTCTGTAATAAGGTAGGGCGCTGATAAGGGGTCGACGGGTATGATTACGACTGGTCATGGAACCACCGCACGTGCGTGCACAACTACACCTACATACAGCTACACCTACCCACGTGACACCTCAACGACAACTAAATAGACAGAAATCACATCTACATTGTGCAACCCTTACTCTTGTATCTTCACGTGGATGCATGCGCGGTTGGGCTATCATGGCTGTTTGAGTAGTTGTATACGTGTCAGATTGCGTGCGTGGCGTGGCGTGGTGTTTGAATGATTTTCTGTCTGTTATGTATGCCACGGTGGCAGTGATTGAGCCCGACCTCGACCCTTCCCCCCTGCCCGCGCAGGTGATCGCGGCCGAGGGCGAGGTGAACGCGTCGCGAGCCCTCAAGGAGGCTGCCGTGGTGCTCGGGGAAGCGCCGGCCGCCCTGCAGCTTCGCTACCTCCAGACGCTGTCGGTCATCGCGTCCGAGAAGAATTCCACCATCATCTTCCCGCTGCCCATGGACCTCATCAGCACCATGATGCAGAAGAAGTAGAATCTGCCGCGCGGTTTATTTTGTCGCGTTCGTAAGCGCGCCATTGTGGGTACCGCTAATCCATTTTCATTTTTACCCGGTTTTGTATCGGTGTTGTGTGTGAGTTCGATTCCCCACTCACGGCCACCAAGACCGGTGATGATTATCTGAACCGGTCCTGGGCCTCCCTTACATCGACTCAGCCTCATATGAGCACTGTACCTGGTGCGGTGCGTAAACATCACCACTGGGGAGACAAAGGCGGCCGGGCGTGGTGTTGGTCATCCAACCCCTCGTATGTCGTGCCGGCCTTCATAGTTTCTCGCTAACAGCACTTGCCCTAGCAGTCTGTTAGAGGCTATGTGGGGGGGTCTTTGTCTTTTTATTTTGTGTGAGTGTGTTCACCACGGGGAACAGCAGTGCCAGAGATACACCCGCCGCACTACGAATACAGAAACTTGAGTTTGATTCCTGGCCATGGATAACATCAGTGGAAATAAATATTTGAGCCCATTATGGCCCACTACGAGGCCGACTGAGCAGTAAGTGGGTACCTGGTGCGGTGAGTTTACGTCAGTCTCAGAGGCTGGGCAATGTGCTGGTCACTGCATTGTCCACACGTGCTGTACTGGCCTCAAGTCGAGTCAATCTATTTCGGTTAACATGTTGGCACCTCTCTGGCACAGAAAAAAAAACAATTACATACAGTAAGCAAACATAAGAGTAAGTTGTGGCTGCGAATTAGTTAATAGGGTGTGCACCTTTTGATTTAAAGCTTTCGTGACTGCAGGGATTCATATTCTTGGTTCTTTCGGTAAAGTCACGTAGAAGGGAAACAATACAATAATATTGTTTCCCTTGTACGTGGCTTTACCGAAAGAACCAAGAATAGGGTGTGCACTAACAACACTTGCTCCAGCACTCTGTTTGGCTATACGGGTGCCGCGGTGGTGAGATGTTAACTACCTCGCCTGGTATACAATAGGTCGTCGGCTCGATCCCCGATCCCGACCCCAACACCTGTATATTTGGAGTTTTCATGTCTCTCGCCGTAGTCGTGTGGATTTTTCTCCGGTCCCTCCGATTTTTCCCCTCCACATTTAGAAGCGTTTGGATTATTTTGCTGTGGTAAATGTTCCACATGATACTCTTTGGTTCTATTGGGTAAAATCACGTAGGTGAAAATATTTTCACCTACGTAAAGTCACGTAGGTGAAAATATTTTCACCTACGTGATACGTAAAGTCACGTAGGTGAAAATATTTTCACCTACGTGACTATATATTTTCATATTTTCACCTACGTGACTTTACCCAATAGAACCAAAGAGTATGGATCCTAGCAGTCACGAAAGCTTTAAATCTAGAAGTTCCACATTATGATAATCCACTTTGTCGGGCTATCATTTGTGGCCAGGTCGTTTTTGAAAAAAAAAAGCTATATAGCTCAGTCCTCGAGTGTGAATTGACAAGGGCACTCAGAGACGCCCACTGCTGTTAAACACAATGAACAACGTCGCATTTTGTGTATTCTGCAGTTGTGTGGGCAATGACGCACTCTACCACGGTCTCCCATTATCAGGTGAAACATTCAAATGGCTGAATTAATTTATCAAAATACACGCACACCTCAGCTGCATTAATTGTGACTCAGGGGGTGAGACTACTGAGCGGGAAGCATAGAAATCCAGAGCACAAAAAGGTGATCTCAAATGTAACGGGTTGATTGTTTACAGTCATTAAAAAACTGCACACACAAATAATCACGTGAATATGTATTTTTCACTTTGGTCAAGTTGCAGCTCTGATAATTAAACGTTAATATTATTGTTATGCAGTTGCTATGTCTCTCCATGACAGGGTGGGTAAGTCTGCCTGTACTGCGTGGATTTAAACAAAAAGGTCACTTGTTTGGATCTCAGGAGTAGCTCTGCAATATACGCTTCCACGGGCTCCTCTCTGCGCCACTCGCCGTGACAGTTCTGGATGGAAACTCTGCCGCATGGCGTTGCCCCGAGAGCACGATGGGAATACTTTTGGGAAAAATACAACTTTGAATAAAAAGAAAACTCCCAAAAGCAGATTGGGTCACCTCACCAAACTTGCACTGGTAATACATACTGTAGATATAATCTGTATCTTATCTCATCATGGTGAAGCAGACAAGACATAATTAATAAATTACAGCAGCTTGTGATGAAATATGCCCTCGTCTGAGTTGGAGATAATTAATCCCTGGTCTTTCAAGATTATAAAAAACATAGGGGCCTGCCATATTCATTATGGGTTGCCACAGGCTCCTCTTTGTATGCCCCATTAGGCCTCATGATAGGGGTTATGATCAGGGCAGCCATCCCAGGGCTCAGAGCTGTGAGAGGAGGCTTAATGTATATGCGCGGACCACTTAATAGTTTGACTTTCTACAAATGCGTCACGAAAACGGGGATATAATCTGTTGCACACATGCAAGTCGCAAGATAGATAGGAAATTACGACAAATGACAGTATTTTTGTTTGTTTACCAAATGATTACTTTAAAGGGGCACCCTGTTTGTTAAATATGCCATTTACGTGAAGGCCAGGCCTGCGTGTAGTTTTTACAACAACAGTAATGATTCATAGTCGTATGTCAATCGACTGCAAGCTGAAGGCATTCCCATTTGGCCATGGGAGTAATTTGACCATACTTCACTGTGGTGAGTGCAGGTTGGTGGGGCCCAGGACCAGTTTAGACATCACCTGCCTCTGATTGCCAGCAATTCATCTACGGGAATGTGAACTTAGGTTGCTGGGTTCATAGTGCAGTGCGCTAACCACTGCACCACCACCCACTAAGCCCTCTTGTAAACCCATATATTTCTGATTGCCCCTTACTGGGGAATCACGTCACAATCCAGGTATTCTGACTTATTTTTTACACATGTACACTCATCACTCAGAAAGCGTAAGCTGAATCAGCCTATTTCATAACTGCCCCCTTCTATAGATTCCTGCTAGTGAGACCACTGCAGCAAGTTGTAGCTTTCCTGCAAAACGAACGCCTCCTTTCATTCTCTCCTTTAAGCTATGCGCATGAACGTGGGAACATGGCCTAGGGCGTAAATAGAAAATGCATGATAACACAAAGCTTTTAAGCTTGTGCTGATGTTTGCAATGTGCAATGGATTTAAAAAATATATATAAATCCATGCCTTTGTCCTCCCGTGACCTTACTGACAAAGGCCACATTTGGTGTGAGGTCACACAGAGAGCGACTTGCAATGTTTCGGTGACTACACGCGCTATTGTGTGAAACTTCTGATTGCGCATGTGACCTTCATTTTATCGGCTGTCTGGTGCCCATAGCTGAAAAACTTCAGAAGGTAACAGGAGGCAAAAGGACAGGTCACTATTTTGGATTGGGGAAGAGAGGATGTTGTGGTAAATGATGGTTTTACTTATAATTGATCACGGTTTTTTTTTACTGTACTGTAAAATATTCTTACACCCAGTAATTTTTTTTGATTTGGCTCTGAGATTTAAGTGATGGGCCTTAAAACCAATGACGGTGCTGGCGGAATAATTGTGCCCCCCTTTCAATTTAGAAACTTATTGGGAGATGTAGAAAGATAACAGGTCGCTGCAGGGTGGGCTGGTAGAAGTTCGCAAATGAGATAATGTGACTTCCAAATGTTGGGTGCAATAAGACATATCAAGTCTCTGCGCTGTCTATTGCTGATTTTACACCCAACAGCACGAGATTTCACTTCGTTAAAGTATTGAAAGGGGACGGACACATTAATCTATTGCAGGCTGGTACACTCAGTTTACAACTTCGTTCCTACCAGTACCAGTATAACGATGTCGTGAGATGAGCGATGAGAGAAAGGAGATATCCATGAGACGGATTTAGTTAAAGGAGAGACATGCAGACAAGAGACAAAGATGGACTTAGATGAGAGAATAGAGATACTACAGACATTATAGGGATGAAAGATATTAATTAAGCGTTTAATATTTATTCACTTTCTCATGTTAATCAGCCGTTTTATACTTCGTTAAGATTTTCAATTCCAGCTCATGCTTTGTGCCACAATCGCTTAATGCCATCATGCACACAAGGGGTGCTGGAGCACAGCGATAGGAGACTCAAGCATCGTGGTGGATGTCTTCAGGGTTGGCTCTCGCTCTTCCTGTTATTTTTATTATTGACTAGCTGTACTACCCGGCTTCGCTCGGGACTTGGATCCACCACGCCCGGCCGCCTTTGTCTCCCCAGTTGCGATGTTCACACACTACACCAGTTACTCATTTGAGGTTGAGTCGACCTAGGGGAGGCCCAGGACCGGTTCAAATAATCGAACTCGGGTCGCCGGGTTTGTAGCGCGGTGCGCTAACCACTACACTACAATGCGTTACGCTTTCACATGCGCGGGTCAAATTACATATTTGACGTCACAGCTCACTTGCCGTGCAAAAACTAAATGCATTATTGAGCTTCCCCCCCCCCCCCCCCCCCCCCCCCAAAAAAAGTGTATTTTAATAATTTTTGCATGGTGTACAGTCTGGAAAGTACCCACATGGCATATTTCAAGTTTGTTGCATGTCGGGAAGTACACTAAACATTTTGAACAGGCACACATTCACAACTTTGCCTTATATATGGAGATATATATTTAAAATTATTATTAAGGTTGCTTTCATCACGATATTATTATGATATGAAATGACTCTACGGAAGGTGGCCTGTTAGTACTCCTTAGTATATTTCTCTACTCTTCCATGCATGTCTGTTGAACTTCTTTCACGCCGTACGTAGCCCACCGTGCTAATCGGATGGTGCGAGGGGAAGGACAACACTAAACGCAAAAAGCAGTTCAAACGAAGTGAGTTTTTCAATCTAGTTGATTTAAAAGTGCATAGCTCCAGTGGCTTCCTAATATCCGGAGGATAGAGCATTCCAGACGGCCGCAGAAGCGCATCTGAGAGCACGCGATGCGGTGACCGTCTTTGTTCAATGGTCAGCCACAAGCAGTTACATGTTTACAAGTATATGAAGGGATGGAGGCGAAGTGAACACAGACTCCTGGCGAGTGAGCACAGTAAGCAATGGGGTGTTGAGGGGGGGGGGGGCTAGGGGGTGGGGGTTGAGAAATCTACAGCGAATAGGCAAGACACGCATAAGATATAGTGAAAAATGGTACGGTCATGTGATTAACAGCATAGCAAGGAGGAA